TATATAATATTGACTCAGTATGAACTCCTATGAACTCCCTTATACATTTACCATTTGGTCCTCAGAAAATACAGTGTATGTGGCCATTGCTCCAGTCTGTCTAAGAATTCAGTTTGCTTCAAGATTTTGAATTGAATGAGAGAAAGAAAGAAATTTAAAGCTCAAATACTGGTTCCTGAGCCATACTCCTGATATCTCTGTATTCTTTAGTGTTATTAAAACTATGTTAATTGATTCCTCAGAATTAAATCATTGGTCATTGGTGTTCCTGTCTTGTTTGCTCCAAACAGCCCCCAGGACCAAAAACATTTATGACACAGTGAAGTTTTTCCCGCCTGCACAGCCTACAGTCACACACATGACCTTGTCTGATATAAAGGTTTGTGAGAGCTTCAAAACAACGTGTGTTGTTTCCATATTTTGTGCTAAATATCATGTTTTAATCGTCATATTTATTTGTCTTTCTCCTTTAGTCTCAGGGAGTTCTGGACAGTTCACTTCAGAAGTATCTCATCAAGCTGAGCAAGAAGAGGAAACGCAGAGCAGGACGGAGACAACGTGGTGACAGGAGCAACGGTTAGACACTCACTTCTTTTCTAATATCAATCTAAACACTGCTCCACACACAAAGCAGAAAACTGATGGAATATCTTTCTATATGAGGTGATATGAAGACTAACATGAGTCTTGTTCTGAAGCAGACGTCATCAGGGGGTCTCCGTCCTCCACCTCTCCACAGCAAATCTTCCCTGCCTCCGTCTTCTACTACGTCCCAGCTGCAGGAGGAGAGGTAGAGCAGCAGCTCTCTGCGGTGAAGGTGAGTACCAGGAAGCTTTTCTTTGCTGTTTTGATGAATCCTCTTCATCTGATGTCTTGATCTTGTCTGTGTGCGTGTCAGTGTGGAGGAAGCAGCCCCAGAAGTCTGGCCAAGTTAAAGATAGCTCTGAAAGATAAAACCATCCCGAGAGCAGCGCAGCCGAAGGAGGACAGAGGGAAGTAGAGGACGCTTCGCCATTTTATTCAGCGTGTTACAGTGTGATGTTAGCATCAGTTTTTGTACAGCAAAGCTAAAACAATATATTTTTCTGCTCTGATCTCTGCTAATATACCAGTGCTAACTTTTTTAATGCTAATAAATTTAATTGGATATTATTATGCATTTAAAAAGAAACAAAATTAATCTAAGCCACCATTACATCTACATCATAACCATTCAAATTTAAATGACTGGTAGTTAATAAGAAATACAGCACTACTTTAAATACAGAGATGCAAACATATGTAGATATGTATTTATTTATGTTTCAAATTATTACCAACATCTACTTAGGCTATTTAGTCATTCATTGCATTTGTAACTATTTGTACATGTATTTACCTCAGTGTTTATGCATATATTTTGTGTTTCATTTGTTAATTGAAGGATTTTCTTTCTGCATTTATAATTTTTCATACTCTGTACCTGAATCTCTGCTTTCTTATAAAGATTTCACTGTTAAATCTGGAAAATTAGAAATTATATGAAATGTATAGAATATAACTGCTCTTTGAATTATTCACAGTTGGAATTATATTTGTCTTTCTAAGTTATGTACACCATAAAAGGTGCAGCTGTTTCACTTTAGTTTGTGGACAACAGAGGGCACTGTTGCTGCTTCATTGAACACAGTTAACAGAGGAGCTGCTCCTCTCATACAATCACACAGGCCTTTCTCACAGCACAGGTGTTACTGATGACACTAACAATGGCTCTATTCTATCCTAGTGCTCCACTGAGAGTTACACTGAGTCAGCATGCACGATACCAGGACCAAGAAATCAAAGGAGCTCAATGGAATTCAGCTGTAATTAATTTAATTATTTACACCTGTGCTTTTATCACTGTGACAAGTCAACATGTCATCCATGACCAAAAGCCTCCAGTTTGTGTTTTCACTTTTGGAAAGCAGAGCAAAAAGCAGCGGGGTCAAACAGACAATTTTCATTTTTTGGTCTCTCTTATTAGATAGTCACCAAAATATCAGACATCATATCCTCAGAATAAAATGTGCTCTTAATAAAACACTTCAAAGTTTCAGGTTCAGGTTCAAAATGCTTTTGGTTTATTAAATTCCATGGAAAGCAAAGATATGAGGGCTATTAGATATGATGAATGTACAATACAGGTGTTGTTCCATGAGCCTTTACTGAGCAGGGTTTAATGTCTTTTTTGTTTGTTTGTTTTTGTTTGTTTTCCAGAAATCTACCTGCCCAAAGTCAAACTGTATGTGCCCCTATATAAATTGTTTTATTTATAAACAGTTATCAAATAACAAAAGATTAACTGGGACTGCTGCGCCACGTGCAACTCTCAACAGAGATGAGAAGGAAGCGACGTTCATGTTCTCCAGAAACGTTTCTTTTTTTACCACTTGCCCAATCAGGCAATTGAGTTACTAGATTTACTAGCCCGATGTGGCATTTTACTTGCCATGGGCAACTGGGCAATCCTTATTGTTGTTCCTTTACTGATTCACCAGTTCAAATAATTTCTGTCATGTGTGCCTTTGTTGTGTGGATATTCTTTTCTCCACATCTCCCTTTTACTTTATGTAAATGCTAAAGGTGCTCCAGTTTTTATAAAGTGCGTTCACATGGACGTGAATAACCTGTTTATGATCAGGTTTTTGGAGCATCCTGTTCCTGTGTTTGAGTAAGCAAACACCATATTACATTCATGAAAAACCCAAATATGCTGGCTGGAGTACTGTGAAAGAAGATTATGTATACAGGGAATATGAATAACTTGATTTCTCTGTGCTAATGTTAACACCATATTCTGAATATGATCATAAACGTGCCTCATAAACAGGTTATTCATGTCCATGTAGATGCACTCATAGATATCAAACTGCTGCTGATGCAGAGCATTCACACAAAGAAAGTCAACAGACGCTTAGAGAGAGAGAAAACAGCTATTTCCTTAACAAGGCCACATGAATAAAATATGTACATTTTATAACTGTTACCCCCACTGAAATGTTATCTTGCCTTCAAAATGCTAAAAAAGAAATCAAAGTGCAAGATCATCATGTTAAAACTCATAAAGGTAAAACCATTTTCTTCACAGCACTAAAGCTCAAATCACACTTTCACAGAAAAAAAGCTGCTTCCTGTCAGCAGCTGACATCAGAGCGACCTCTCCAGAGGAACGCAGAAGCACTTGCCGCTGTTGTTTGACATTAAGTTCATCCCTGCATAGAGAGAGGGTCTTTTCATGCTGCTTTTGTCATGTCTGACGTTCCAGCCAACACGGAGCTTGTCTTATATTCATCTCAGTGACGTCCATCATGTTTCACAGCTTCTATCTTCTCTTGGTTCCTCCAAAACCTGAAAAACAGAAATGGTAGTCAGCCAGCTGAACGATAGGGTGTCTCTCAGTGCTACTGAACTGTTGAGACATTCAGCATTCACTAAAGAAAACTTTATTGGAGGCATTATCTCATAATTCTTGGTCCTTGGTTTGAAACACTGGGAGATAATAATGTGACTGAGTGATGTGGGTGGTATTATTATCAGTGAGGTAGTCTATGTTTTGAGTGAATAACCAATCAGATGTCATGATGACATAATGCTGTTATGTCCTGGTTGATCCCTTACAAGACAAAGAGCACACCAGGTCAGGGATTGCCTCATGTACGTCCCTTGGAATAATTTGATGGAGCCTATTTTTTACTCTTCTGTAATCTGTACTTTGATTAGACAGTAAACTATTTTAGATTTATAATTAAAATATTGTTTGTTGAACTATGAAGTCTTTTGTAAAAATTAATAATAAATGTTTTTATATCATGTTAACTTGATGAATCTAAAAACTTTTCACGAAACAGTGCCACAGACCCCACTTTGACAATCACTGATCACTGAAAATCACACAAACTAGTATACAGTTCAGCTGCGACCCCAACAACTGGTAATTCTCTCTCCTTTGAACGCAGATTTGGAATATCAGTGTGTTCTCTTTAAATGCTCGAGGCTGACTGTTGCGCTGGAAACTAACAGGGATATCCAAGTCGATGCAAAAATCTAAAAATATGACGGTGTTTGTTTTCATCCAGTTCCGTAGGTATGATGCAAATCTTGATGGGGCAGCATATGTGGCTACAAGTGTTCTAATCAGAATCAGAATCAGAATCAGAAATACTTTATTGATCCCAGAGGGGAAATTATGATCCATTACAGTCGCTCCGATGTAAAGAATAGAGAATTATAATAAGTAAGAGTATGAAATAAAAGTGTGTAAATATAAAGCAATAACATTTTGATAAGTCTTTGCAACGGGAGCGCCGTGTATTAACACTCTGCTTCAAACACCAGCAGCGTCACGAGGCGCTGAGTGTCTATTCTGCTTTGAGTTAAATGTTCAACTTTGGGTAGAAATGTTTAAGCACATGGGATTTATTGTTTTTTTTGTTTTGTTTTGTTTTTCTGTACCCTGAAATTGAATTGGGTATCAAGAATCATGGAATTTCGCTGTTATCGTGACGCTGAGAAATTAATGACGATAGGAGCCAAATTTTATTCACATTATAAGACCATAAAATGAGTCAATTGATACATTATTTGAAGGGACAATTTTTAAACTTTATGATTATTTGGGTGTACTTGTTATCCCAAATTGTACGGTGATTACTTCCCAGTATCAGAGGTGGTGAAAGGTTGATGATACATGCAAACTGACTGACTGATCTCACACAAGTGTCTGTTAGCGAACATGCAGTCCTACCTGAAGCAGTGCGTGTCCCAGAAGAAGAGGTGGAGCCTCCAGCAGCAGGACGCCTGTTGTCAGTATAAGCTGAGGAGTTGTAGTTGTACGGCTGGTTTCTGCAAAACAAACAGACGATACACAAACCTGAAGGCTCTGAATGCAGTGGACGTGGAGGAACTCCTGCTTTTCCAGTACCAGTGATGTATTCTACTGACCTCTGACCTCCTCGGCCAAACAGGTAACCCAGCACCCCTCCTGTTCCCATGCCGGTCCAGAAGTTTCCTCCTGTGCCACGAGGAGCTTGGCCTCCTGGGTACTGCTGTCCCTGAGTGTAGTCACTGTGGAAACCGTAGCCTGGGTTGGCACCAGGGTTGCCTTAAGACAAAACAACAGATTCACAATTTCAGCAGGGTGGTTGTAATCTTATCTCGTATTACAGAGCTCATCCAGGTGATTTATATGAGAGAAAGAACAATCCTGCACATCATCTCTAACAAAGGGAGGTATTTCTTTGAAGAAGGCCTTCTAATGTTACTCTGTCCACACTTTATCATTCTGCATCAGCTACCTGTGAAGTCAGGTTTGAAACCCGGGGGCGGTGGTCCTGCAGCATAGCCTTGGTGATTATCTCCCTGGTAACCAGCCTGTCTGCCATCCTGCCCCCACTGTGGCATGTTACCGCTGAGGAAAAGCTTGTAGACTCCGTAAGCTAAGAGCAGAAGCACAGCCACCACCAGCAGGCCTCCAGAGTCCCCGCTGCCTGAGGGGTAAGAGCTCTGATGACTCTGCTGGCTCTGATGGCTCTGCTGGTGACGCTGATGCTGGTTTCCAAAGAGACCGCTGAAAATACTGGAGGCAATGCCCCCAAAACCTGAGGTGGGCAAACGGAAGAACAGTGTTTTTAAATATCTGGTTCTTTTGTGAAGATGAAACCTTACAAATTTCACTTCTCCATCATCTTACCTCCAAAGCCCTTGAATCCGTCGTGGGAGCCCCAGCTGCCTTGTGTCGACCTCCGGCCCTCTGCGGTCAGTTCCAGTGTGTACTCCAGCCCACAGGAGCCCTTCAGTATGTGGGCGTCTGTAGGGTGGTTGTAGCCCTCACAGCTCACCTCAATGCGACCAAACCGGTAGGCGTTGTCCATGTCAGTCTTACACTCCCACTGTGAGGGAACGACCATATTATTTAAAACCTTATTCTCATATTCAAACACATCAAGGATGAGAGTTCTTCACACAATTACATCCAAACCTATTTATTTTTTTCTTCATTGTATAAAATTAGCCATATGAATACATCTAATGGGACTTTGGGAAGCGCGATGGTCATTATTCTTAAGTTCGTAACATTTTGTACCAAATGATTTATCGTGAAAACAATCATCAGATCAATCAATAGTTTCAGCCCTACTTCTCAGCAAATGTTACACTCTACACACATCATCTCTCTGTCCTAGCCTCCCTCCTCACCTGCACATCCACTCCATCCCAGCCTTTGTTCTGGCACTGGACCACCTCTGGAACGAAGGCATGGCAGCCTGCGGAGCCGCCAACACACTGGAGCTGCGGCACGGGGCTGGAGCGCCTCGCTGTGGTGTAGCGGCCCTTGTACAGAGTCAACACCTGGATGTCCCGCAGCAGCACGCTGCCTGCAGTGAGGAGAGGAGAAAAGGTCAATTTACAAACACATAAAAGCTCCTGTTCTGAAACATAATGCCACGTATCACATTCAGGGCTTCTTTTTCCTCTAGCTAATGTAAATAGGCAGCTAGGAAGCAGCGGGAAGCAACAGGTTTTCCTGAGAATGGAGATATATGTTTTTTGTATTTATTGGCAGTTTGACCAAAGTACACACACAACAGTCCTGAAATAAATCCTTGCTCTGTAAATCTTCAACTCATAGCTACATGACGTCATCCACATGTATGCTATCACAAGCACACATTTTAAAATCATTGTGGTGAACAGCCAGATGGATTTGCTGAGATATTGAGGGATGTCTACAGGTATCAGACACTGTTTTTAAAACCTTTTCAAGAATTTTTTAACCAAATTTAAGCCATATATGTAGAGAAATCACATTTTTCCCATCCAAGCATTGCAGGGAAGTTTAATGGTTAAGTAATATTTTCATAATCCCGTACATGTTGCCAACAGGTAGGCACTAGCATAAAGTAAAAGGACATTATTAGATTCAGTGGTAGGTTAAACATCTGGGGAGGAGCTCAGAGTAGAGCCGCTGCTCCTTCATATCGAAAGAGGTCAGTTGAGGTGGTTCGGGCATCTGATCAGGATGCCTCCTGGGCGCCTCCCATTAGAGGTGTTCTGGGCACGTCCCACTGGTAGGACGCACCAGGGCAGACCCAGAACATGCTGGAGGGATTACATATCTCATCTGGAGGATGAGGCTCCAGGAGGAGCTGGAAAGCGTTGCTGGGGAGAGAGATGTCTGGGGTGCTTTGCTCCCGTGACCCAGCCCCAGATAAGGGGATGAAAATGAATGGATGGCAGGTTTAAAGGTTTGTAACACGAGCTATGTGGACTTTCACTCAGCAAAGTGTGACACATTTTGACAAAAAGAAATGAAAAGATGGATATATGCAACTAGATAAAATGTTTGTAGCAATAAAGACCTCACAAAATTTAAAATTTAAGACTATTTAATGACTTTTACAGGGTGCCTGCAGGTCTTTAAAATAATTACTGGGCCTTAAAAGTGGCAGTATTATTATTATTGATAATGGTAGCATGTTTACTCTAACCACTTATCATAATGTACTTGATGAGAAAATATGGACACAGGCAGGTAAACATATGAGTTAAACGAGCAGGAAATGGCAGCTGACTCTTATATGAGCACAGATATTTATATGCCTTTACATTGAGACTAACTTAAATAATAATAGTTTTAGCATCTATGTGGCCTGTGGATTTCCTTAGCAGGGTGTGTACCTGTGTAGCCCGTTTTTGTTTGTTTTTATCATGTTTCTTAAAAAATTCAATGAGCAAGTCGGAAGCTGTTAGCAGCGGAAGTTGTGGTGTTTTCTCTGTTTAGTTGCTGCTGCATGGTAAATAAGTCTGTCTGTGAAGTGTCGCTGACGTAGCCTACATTTCCTAACAGGGCGGCTTCCTTTAAATATAATTATTATAATTATTATTATTATTATTGATGAAAATTAGTTCAAACTGTAGTGAAGCAGAGAGGTCGTAGGAAGCAAAACCTACCGTCATCCCAGCTCTTGATTTGTCCCACCAACAGAAACTGCAACAAAACTATAATACACCGTTTCATTTCCTCGCTGCGTGTTTACGAGCTCCGACAGTCAGGGTTTAACTCAATAAGTTATTATTGAAATAATAACAGACGTCTCTCTGCGTTTCATTAACGTTACGCTGACGGCGGCAAACCCCAACACAACATAAGAACCCTGATTTCCGGGTTGCGTCATCTGTTTTGCTGTCGTCACAACCAATGGAGAACGCGCACGACTGCTGTGTGAAGAGGTCTCATTTACACAGCTCTGAGTTCACAGAGACATGTACAGTATGATGTAAATGTTTGCAATCTGTGACAAGAATTTTTATTTTATTTTGTTTTCTGAAAAAAAATGTGATGAAAAATTCCTTCTCTACTGCTTTTATTAATTATTATTTCAGGAATCACATACACCCACCACTGAGGGTCAATGGAGGACTAAAATTTCTTGGACTTTAATTTCTTAGGGACTGTTCATTACTTTTGAGGTTGGAGAGGGTGGTGCAAAAAACTGGGGAAGCATGTCAAATAATTTTTAAGCTTGGAGGGGACTTATGTTTTTTATTTTAGCTTAGGGGAGAAGCATAAACATTTAAATGGTTGCATTTTGTTTTTCTTTTACTACTGATTTTTTTTTTTAAAGAAAACGTGATTGGAGGGTATGTTTTCTTTCAAAAAACACCAAAATTACACTTATGATAACCAGAAAACGTACAAACAGAAATTATCATTGGATTTTTACATTTCCGATGGTCCTTGCACATCATGTACAGTGAATTATTATATCAGTTTGTGAGACTTGGACACAAAACAGGCCGAAACAAGTGAAAGGCATGAGAAAAAAAATTTACTTCTCCAAAGAGTCATATTTGTAATGTTGTCAGACACTCATAACAACAATCTGTGGCATAAACAAGCACTTTAAAGGCCTTTGCACACTGAGTCAGTTTTTTTCGTCCAAAATTGTCACACGTCCCATCTGTGTCCAGCCTTGCCCCAGCACCATCTCAAGGTGCAGTTTATTTCCCTGCAATCACAATAACAAGAGCACACAGTGGTAGTAGTAAAAATCAGGTCTTTTATTTGCTCCGTCACCCACCACTCAGTCCATATTATTAAATTTCTGCTATAAGTTAGATATTTACAACATCATTCAAGGCCCTTCAGAAAATGCATCGTGATCGTCTTTACAAAGAAAATCTATTTACATTGTACAAAACATTGCATACATGATCATCCATACACCAGACCCTCTTCCCCTTTAACATACCAAAAAAGCACCCACATTTTCTTCATTCGCCGTTTCCCCCACCACACGTGTATTTCTCACTGGTTTCACTCCCCAGCCCAACAACCCAGTGTTTGTTTGTTTTTTCATTTTCAGACAGGCAGTTACTAAAGTCACAGACAACTGGTCAGCTACTGAATTACTCATCAAGACTGTCAGTAAGGCAGGCAGTTCACAAGTCCTCAGTCTGTTCTTAAAGATGTGCTCACCACACATGGGACAAGTTTTCCGTGTCGGCTTTCTCCCAGAAAGCCATTTTCTGACAGAAATCTATTCATTTTAACCCAAAACACAACATTTTTTTTTAACCAATAACCAATAAATCTCTTTCTGGCAGAAAGCCCTCTGGGAAAACTTCTCCCAACTGTGAGCTCACCGTAACGTATTTAAGTTCCTCTAAAGCATCTCAGTGTCTGTAGGAAGTGATGAGAATGAATTCAAGCCTATGGAAATTAATAGAAGTAAAAGATAACCAATCAAATTGAACAACAGAAAGTCAAGTCACTTATATTCATGCTACTGTGCATTTGAAGCATCTTCTAGATGGGATGGTTTCAGTCATGGCACTGGGAATGCACTTAGAGATGGTTTAGAGAATCTAACGCTGTATGAAGCTTTATGTATATTTTCATCTTCATAAGTTTCTTTTTGTCCTGGTCAAGCTTTTAATAACAGTGTGGTGAATTAAATTCTTCTAATTCATTAGTCAAATTAAAGGGACAGTTCACCCTCAAATCAAAAATACATATTTGTTCTCTTACCTGTAGTGCTATTCATCAATCTAGATTGTTTAGGTGTGAGTTGCAGAGTGTTGGAGATACCGGCTGTAGAGATTTCTGCCTTCTCTCAAATATAATGGAACTAGTTGGCACTCGATTTGTGGTGCTTGAAGCGCTGACAAAATACATTTGACAAACTCAACAGCAATGTGTCTTTCCATAAATCATGAGCTTTGGCTTTACGTCTCAGATGATATACTCATACACAGGGAGCTGGAATTAAACATCTCTAAAACCAGGTCAAATCATGGGTATGCCCAGCTTAAGAGGAAAAATATGTATAATTAATTTTTGGGGTGAACTGTCCCTTTAAGCCTGTTAGATTACTGTATTATCTTCAACCTAACAGTGTCCCTTTATCAGTGACACTAAAAGCGCCTTTCACAGAGTGTGGAGTGCAAATGTGAAGAACAAACACATACAGTTCAATATTAGAATATGTCAGTGTCAGTTTGAGCCTGTTCAGCATGTGCCTATAGGAGCGTTACGTACATCTCTCTCTGGACAGCCTCTCCACCTTTGTCAGGTTTGGCTCCGGAGGAAAGTTCATGTAGTTTGACTGGCATGACGAAATTGGCGTGTTGGCTCTTTAGGAAGCAGATGACTGAACAGGGCCGAGCAGAAACAGTTTGTCATCTCTACATGTTGATTGTTTACATAGATAAAACAAGCCACGACTTTCACGCTCATGTTTGTCGCTGTGACACCACCGAGTCAACCACTTTCACGTGATTCCTCTGTGACAAAGATTTGGCTCACCTGAGTGTTCTTTCTTTGACAGATCCAATAAATGCTTAGTTTTTGACATCCTATTTTATCGCACGACTCCAGCCTAAATGCCGTCTTAAAGTGATAGTTCGGATTTTTGAAGTGTGGCTGCATGAGATACTTATCGATAGTCAGTGTATTACATAGAGTAGATGGCGGTTGGCACGCTCCGTTTGTAGGACCAGATGGCACTGGCACACCAGAAGCAAATCTTATTTTAGCCACTTAAATAAAGGCATACCTACAAATGTCAGCATCAGTTAAAGCAGACACTATATTAAGATTTTTTTCACTGCTTTACCTTGCTGTCAGACAGCCCTTTCATTTAGCACTACATTTTCCCAACCATATAACTTTAATATTCTTACGCAAAAGCACAATGCAACGGTTTGTAAGGAGACAACAAATATAATAACACAAAAAAAATCCGGGACGATTATGGCAGCAACAATGAAATACCCTCACTGTGGAGACAAAATTATAACTTTACGAACCAGAGTATACAAAAGGAAGAACGTCTGCGGAGGGAGACTGAATAGGCCGATAAAGAGAGTGAAGAGAAACTTCAGTGGGAACGGGAGGCCCATAAAGAGCAGAAGCAGAAAGCAGAAGCTCACTGAACTGTAAAATGCATGCTTACTGATCTAAAAAGCTACTGCTGTCTGGACATGGTTATACAACAACCTCAGGATCTTTGTGACTCAGAGGATTCCAGTGCTTCACGTTTTACTGGCTATTTGGCAAGTTTAAATTTATTTGTAGGTATTTAGTGTAATCTTACCCGATAGTTCAGTACAGCAGTGCTCCTCACAAAATGTCTCTTGCTCATTTAGTGGTGGTTTTACATAATGATCGAGAGAAATGTTACCGCAAATGCTGAGGTGTCTCAGTCTTGCAGGTGGAGTGTTAACGTCTATATTCAGTGCAACTAGTCACAGCTGTTTTCAACTGTTTGTTTGAACAGCTCCGAAAAACAAGCTCACACCATCTTTGAAAAGTTGTTTCAGTCGGATCGCGCAACAGCACTCTCTGATCTGAACAGCTGACCTGCAGCGTTATACAGTGCATAGTACAGTTTCGCACTTTTGCACAGGAAGATGGAAGTAATTCGGTTGAGAAAATGTAGCGCCAAAGGAACGGGCTGTCTGACAGCAAGGTGAAGTGGTTAAAATACTGTAAATATAGCATCCTCTTAGAATGATTTTGATGTTTATAGGTAGGCCTTTTTTTATTATATATATTTTTTTTATTTCAACATTTTCATCCGCAGAAATTCATTGCTGTTCGTCTGGGGTGCAAGTCCTATCTGGTTCTCCAAACAGGGAGCACGCTGACTGCCAACTACTGTACGTGATACATTGACTCTGGAAAAGTACCTCACACAGCCCCACTTCAATAAACCCAAACTATCCCCTTTATCTTACTTGTATATGACAGCAAGCATTACACCAGCCAGCGTATGTACAGACACGTCACCTGGCTAAACGCGCTGATGTTTCATTGAATCCTTCACCAACTTAAAGGACTCTTTGGTAGGTGAGCTAATCAGTTTGACTGAAAAGGTCTAATAAGAGTGCGACTGTTCAATAGTCAGTGCTGATGTGATTAATTTCAGAAATCAATGCAGTGGTTTAGAAAAGACCTGAGAGCCCAAAAAGAACCAATAGAGAGACACAGTGTAAACAAAACCACAATGAAAGACAGAGATGGCGCCCAACATGTCTTCAGTTCAGTGTTCAGGTGATTTGGAGGACGAGCAACTTCAGGCTCCACACAAACCAGTTCTTCTTCTACCATCTGGAGTGTCTATGTGTCTGTATAATGCATGACTGTGTGAACCAACAGCACCAACCAACGGTTTTGGGTTGAAGCTGGTGATACTCAGTATCTTTAAACTGACACTGAGTGGCTCATATCAAAACATTATTTCTTTAAAGGACAGTATCAGCTTGATGTATCTGTAAACTCATAGTATGGATGTGTTTCTTGGTGTGGGCGTGTCCTCATACAGTCAACATGTTCCTCTCCGAGCTCCCAGTGGTTTTCTTTGTGCGTGCTGCTCAGTCTTCAGACAGCCACTATGTTGTTCATCTCCCACTTCTGAGTGGTTTTACTGGTGTCACAGTCTGATATGAAGACCTTGTGGAGCAGGTCGGAGCGGTCCAGACATTTCCCTGTTAGGAGAGGACAGATGAACATCACTATGAGTACAGGAATTCAGAAGCCACTCCTCCGAAATGGATTCCTGGAATTGAACTTTATCCAATTAGAGTTTGTGGTCCAACGTGGATCTGTTCAGAGTTACTCAACTTGGGAACATTTGAGCTGATCTAATTTAAGGCAATGTGATTGTGATGTTCTGACTCAAAGTGGAGCTCTGAGGCTTGTTACAGTATTCCACAGCAGCTACATATAAACATGCCTTCAAAAGGGCAATAATCATGTGACTAAGGACTTTTGAGGCAGTTGTCTACTGTGCTTTGTTGCTGAACATGCAGGTGGTTCACTGACTGACACACACACCGTGAGTTATAGTAGTGGTGGACTTAGAGAGTTCAGTTACCCCCGTTTTCTTTCAACCGAGCCACAGCTGCAAGCCTAATCACCATGCAGAAGGAAGCGCACATCTACTGCTAGCTCAAATAGCACCTTGCAGCTAGCTAATGTTACAGCTCAGCTAAAGAGAACTCCATTGATGTTTACTTCTCACACTGTCACAAGTCTGAGCCTCTTGTCTATGAGCATATTCAGAGTTTTACTTTGTATGTTTTCATATATTTTTGCTGTTGTCACAGTCCTCGTCTCATCATCTCAAAATCACCTTTTTTGGATTCTTCTTTCACCATGGAAACATGAGTATTAAACAAAGTTTTCTTCACAGATTCAAGGTAACATGCGATGAGTAATTGATATATAAATAGTCGTTTGTGGAAGAAGTATTTCCTTTAACTACACACAGGCTAAAAATCCTGCTTGAGCTGCCATCTAGTGGTGGCTGATCAGATGGCAGTTTTTTGCAACTGTACAAACCAAACCCTAAGTACAGACCATATTAAGAATACTGTGACACCATCAGTGACTGGTTGAGTGTGTGCAGGCTACGGTAGAATTTTTTAAAAGCCTTCTTTTAAATTAAAGGGATACTTTGCTGATTTTTCAATCAGTTCTGTATCATAACAATGTGGGTAGTATGTGACAATTAACTGTGGTAAACTTCTCTCCATCTTACCAACACCCAGATCTCCCTGCTCATCTCAGCTGAAATCAGATTGTTTTAGGGCTGTTGCTCAAACCACAGACTGTACTTTAACATTTTCGTATGCCCGCCACCAACACAGAGTATAGAAGCAGATCGATAAAGTGACCTGCCTCTCTTTCTCTTAAACTCAGACCAAACTCAGATCAAACTGTAAAACTAAGCAGCACTGATAAAATATAAACCAAGATTCTGTTACTGTATTGCCTGCACTATTTAGCTTTAGTGCCTACTGCTAGTTGCAGGTTTTCTACCCCTTGAGCAAAAGCAAATGCCACAGCCCTTTTCCTCTGTTTTCTCTGGTCATGCAGCACCTATTTAAAAAATAATTGTGTCCTTCTACTTCATTGACAGCCCAGTTTTATGAAAAGACCATCTTTCATGCTGTAAAATAAGTCTTTCTTTAAGGCCTCCTAATCTTCCTTCCACCGGTGACATGATGAGTGTCACTGGTGACAATGAATCCCTTTGTGAAAAATATATAAAAACTGTTGTCTTAAAAAATCGTGCAGATATTTACCTGTTGGTACATGGGTGAACCGATGGAGATTCTGTACAGGCAGAAGAAAAGAGAAAGACAGAGAAATAGGGTGAATTCTTTATTCCAGCACTTTCTACTTTCTGTCTCAGACTCATCAGTGTGCTCTCATCCTTTCCTCTTTGCACACAGTGGTGAGTAGAGCAACGTCAAATACGAGCACTGAGGAGTGAATCTTTTGTTTTTATCAGTTGTGTGTATGTGTGTCACCTTGAAGTACTTCCACTCAGTGTGCTGGTTCTGATCACAGTGTGTGATGATGACAGCTGAGTTATCACTCCCTCTGGTCAGGCACTGGTCGTACTGCATCAGCTGGTTGGCTTCATTGATACGGAACAACTACACACACACACACACACACACACAGAAAGATAGAGAATTTACACCAAGCTAAATAACACATCATGTAACCCCAAACAACAACTACTAATGTACAAGAATAGTTCTGAGAGTTAAAATCAAGAAGGAAAATTGCCAAAATTACAAAACACCTGATAGAGCATGGCGAGTTAAGACAGAATAACGTCACTGAGTGACATGGAGTCCAACAGGCTGTTGCATATTAAGCTCATCAAAAACCAGACCAAACCAGATCCAGATCTCCATCTGCAGGTCTCTGCAGGCAACTAAAGCAACACACCACATGAGGCACAGTGTGGGTGTGTGTGTGTTGATTACCTGGTTGCCACCCATCCTGTGGCACGGTCCTATTTCCACATTGCCTCCATTGGTGTGTCCCATACTGTCAATACAGTAACTTGTCTCAAAGCCTCGGATCTACACACACATGGAAATGATACACACACACACATAACGTTATGGCACAGTGTATTACTCATATATTAACAACCATGACAGAAACAGTGTGTGTGTGTGTGTGTGTGTGTGTGTGTACCTACCTCTCCCCATTCTACATTTTTAGGGGGCAGAGGGTAATGCAGGGGAATGTCATACGCTATTTCCTCCATGAACCACTTGAAGCTCTTGCATCGATGTTCCTCCCTGACAACAAACAGCAAACAAGCTATTAATAACTTGTTAACTTACAGTTTCACTGTGAGATGCTACATAATGTTTTCATTTCATAACCAGTTCTAAAAAAGAGGAACTTCATGACCTTTCAGCTTATTTCAGATGTTGAATTTTAGAGCAAAAGACCTCCTTTTAAATGCATAAATAAATGAATAATGGCTATAATGCATATGTGGTGCATGGGTCGTGGTACTCGGACAGTGAGTATGGCAACTCCTGCCTTTTTATCCATTATCCAATAGATTTGAAATCCTGTTCAACCAAGTATGCAAGGAGACCTGTACATCTGTTCTGGGTTGACTGTGTAGCTGGTTGCACCAACAAGGATTAATTAAATCTAAGATTAGTTCCAATTGGAGTTTAGTAAAACTAGGTTTAAAATGAGTAAATCCAGGTTTAAAACTAAGCAAAGTTGTGTTGCACAATTAAACTCTATCTCCATTTAGTTAATGAAGTTTATTGATGTAAACCAAAATTAAATAGAATTTAATCAATATGGAGATGATTGCTTACTCAAATTGAAATAAATAAATACATAACTTTTTGCATACTGCAGGAACCTAATAAATAGGCTGTAAAAGAGGGGTGGATACCGTTAACTTTTGGCTGCTCTGTATCCGTTAATCAACATGTAGAATTGTTTGCTAGCTAGTTAAAAAGTTGGTCTGTTAGCCTGTCGCAACTCATGATGGTTCAGCTGAGAGGCTCGGATTTCTCCCCCTTTGAGAAAAACTTGTTGGTCGAATTAATAAAGTAATATGGCCAAATAATACAAGACAGGAGCACAGGAAAAAAGAGACTGTCTGGCAGCAACTGGCAAACAGTTTTAACAGAAAACGACATATTCAGCATGATAAAACTCAGTTGGGCTGAATTTGACCCTGAACTTTCTTCAAGGAACCTGATTATTTTGCTCTATCCATTTAAAAAAGGCAGCCATTTCAAAAGTTTAACCTCCTCAAATGTAAGTTTAAAGTTAATACTAGATCACATTTCAAATTAGAGTTTCAATGTTTGTAGCAACAGAATGAGTAAAAACTAAAAAGACATTTGAAGAGGTTTAAACTGAATCTTTCTTAATTGTAAGCTCGTTTTAAAGTTTGGTGCAACATGATTTAAGTTAACCAATGATTTCATTTAAAAATTAATCCTTGCAGGTGAAACTCAGCCTGTATGCGTTCACATTTTGTCTTTGTCCGTTTTGACTCTGACGAAGAAACAGTGGTGTTAAAACGTTAGACTGTTTGCACAGTTTAAGGCTGCAAATCGATCAGTGTGCTCCAGCCCTCTAAAGTTTGCTCTAAATTGGCTGTTAGTGGACTTTTCTTTTTGTGTCATCTCTCAACTGTCAACGTTTGTCTGGGGCAGCCTTAAACTCAGACAGTGTACAGGAGCAGAGATGTGGAAAGGTCTGATCAAGTAAAACAAAAGAATGAAAGTGTAAAGATTCATCAGTTATAAATACAAAGTGTGCATATGTTGTTGTATGTGTGTTGTACCTGAAGTGTTTCAGCTCACTGATGTCTCCGTAGGCTAGAGTGAGAGTTTCTGGACGACTGGCGTAGAAGTAGTCCTTATATTCATCCCACCATACCTCCACCACACGAACATAGTTCTGTACACATACACACACAGTATTATGCTTCATATGACACAAATAATAATTATTTGTTTGGGTTGATAATCAGTTTAACAGCTTGTGTGATTTTATGGAAGTCTACACAAAGATCTGTAACACATGAATCAAAGTCACGTTTAGAAACTAATGTTAATGGAACTGTGCTTTACAAAGAGTAAACAATAGTACTTCTTGTGCAAGACTAAGTATAATACAGTTCAAAGTTCTACATCGAGCTCACTTCTCCAAGGCAAGATTAGCTAAGTTGTACCCTGATTCAGATGCAAGTTGTGACAGGTGCCAGAACAGTCCAGCCAACTTGACTCATATGTTCTGGTCATGCCCTGCTCTGACAACTTACTGGTCTATGATTTTCAAATTTCTATCTGAAGCACTTAATACTGATTTCCAACCCAATGCAGCAGCAGCCATATTTGGAATCACAGTCGGCCAATACTCTGTATTTAGGAAAAGCCACAAAAATATTATTGCCTTCACGACGTTGCTCGCTCGCAGGAGAATTTTATTACACTGGAAATCAAAACACCCCCCTAAAGTGTCTTTGTGGTTAAGCGACTTGATGCTCTTCATACAGTTAGTGAAGATTAAATATTCACTTAGGGGATCTAGTGACAAATTCTTCTCCATCTGGAACCCAGTTTTGACACATTTAAGTAAACTCAAAACTTTGCCTGATGCCCTGTAATAAAATTTCCCAATTCAAGATATTTAATGATATAGAGTACAGTAGGTCTAAGCACAGTTTCACTAATAGAACTGGTAAAGTGTATTTATTTATTTATTTATTCTCTTCTCCTTCCCATGTCCTCTGTTGTGATTTCTTCCTTACACCCCCCCTCTTTTTATTTTATTTATTTATTTTCCTTCTCTCTCCCTCCTCTATTGAAAGTCACTTTATATCTTTGTCAGGGCTCAAATGGTTTTGGTAGTCTATTAATCTTTGCCTTACATTCCAATTGTGTATAATGTCCCTAAGGAATAATTACTGTGTACAATATAGTGTACTTATATTACTCTTGCACTGGTGCAAGCTTGTATGACCGGACAGTAGTGAATAAGCATGAACATGGTGGCGGTGTGTGTGGCTAATCGTGGCCTCTCATGTATCGGTGTATGTTTATGTATGTGTATGTACTGTGTGTGGGCACATGGACTTATTGGCTTGTCTGTATACATATACTCTCTTTTCTTGTGCTTCTGTAGTTGGGTGCTCTCCAGGTTAGGGTGGGTGGGTTGTTCGTTTGGAGTGGGAGAAAAGGAAAAATGGAAAAATCATTCCAAGTACTTACTATGTTAAGTATATACTTACTGTATTTTTGTACTTGTTTGGATTTCCAAATAAAAAATATTTAGAAACTAATGTTAATTAATTCGTTTTCTGACCAATTTCAGATTGAAGGCATCATTTTATTTTCCTGTTATGACTTTTACAATTTATCCTGTACTGTGAAGCTGCCTGGATCAGTCAGTATTACAATATGAGCGCTGTAAACTAAAGCACTAATTAGCTTTTAAACATTTAATGACTGTTAAACAACAAGTCGAGCAGGTACAGTTAGTATGTGGTATGCAAACAGGTAATTCAGGGAATGTCTGCATCCAATTTGGAGCCAAATGTGGTAGTGGAAATGACGCTTGTGCACATATACCCATCTCACTGTAAAGGAAGGAATCTCTGTCCCTCTGTCTGTCTTTGTGTAACTCAACAACTGTTCATCTACTTCACATTTCGCAGGTGTATTGCTGGGGACCCAAAGATGCGCAGTCACATTTGGTGCAGTTTGGACACGCAACACGTTCAATATTAATCAACTTTGAATATACAGAGAGTCAAGCACGTCATGTTCATGTTTCTGATTGCGAGTAGCTGTTACTTGACCTCCCAACACCAACAGCATTACCGCCAGCAAAATACCTCCAATAATTAAAGCCATGCTTTACTTTATAACCGCAATAATTATGTCAAAACAACAGCTATCATGCCAACTTGGAAATGAATTCCTCTGCTGAGTGTATTTCACCAATGTTAGGGATTTGGAGCCCCAGGTAAACACCATCTTGCTTTACTTTCCACACTTTCTCTAACTGGAAATACTGGTCTTCCTAAGGGTAGGACAAGTTCTCAAAACATTATCATTTTCTGAATTAAAACTATTAATCATGAAGAGTAAAACTATGGATACCTGCATTCAAATTTTTACTGAAAGTGAAAGCATGACAGAAAGGCATCATCAGCTCAATGTACTAAAATGTATTAATGTCTGTTTAAGGTGGTGCTTTGAACTCTAATATAATGCTGGATAGTTTAATGAATAATAATGCAACATATTTTAACTGTTGTATTTTGTGAGTAAAATCTGAATCTGCAACATAACCAGTAACATATCTCTGTCAGGTGAATGTGGTAGTACAACATTTTCCTCTGAAGTACAAGTAAAAGTACAAAACAGGTAAGTTGTATACCATTAAGTTGCATATTTTTAAGGTGTTTTTGGGGCCTCTTTATTTCTTGGTACAGCAAGTTATAATAGTCACATAAGTCAATATTTTTCAATATTTCAATATTTTCATCTAAACATCACAATACATCTTTAGCTGTTTGGGGCTACTGCGCAGGACCTAAAGAAGTGCAGTGTTGAGTGTGAAACTGTCTGAGGAGTCAAGAAAGCTGTGAGCAGCAATACTACAGGTCGAGCAATCGCTTCGTTCCAAATGGGCACTGAACTAGTTTCCACAATGATGTGTAAAACAGAACCATGCTTACACATAGCTTTATAAATCTGATTTAAATACATTTTGGTTGTGAATCTACACAGAGTTTTATGCATCTGGCTCCTTGTGTTTCAAAGTGTGAGCCACCATACCTTCAGGGTGGGTGATGACCCAACATGTGCAGGTGGAGGGTTGCCTTGCCATCCCTGTAGTCTGTAGATATGGCCCACACGAGAACAGGGTACAAAGAGCAGCTGGCCACCACACTGCCAGATCTACATAAACATACAGGAATTTAGAAAAATATAAAAAGGTGAATATTGCTTTGAACCCTTTTAAATGATGTGTGTGTTGCTATTTAGCCTCAGTGTGTATAAACCAGTCTATTCCATGTGTACCTTGTATGATATTTCAAAATTCTCTCCTCCCCATATCTGCAGTCCAGGATCATACAGACCCAGCTCAAAGAAGAAGTCTCTCTCTATAGCAAAGAGACCACCTGCCATGGCTGGAGACCTACAGGTATGAAGACAGACACGCACGTCCAGAAACAGACACAAGCTCAAACAACATTACTCGTCACACTTAACTTACTCTGTTAAAATAATCACATCATCTATTCTTTTGAAGTTGGTCTGAAAATCACAAACTGTTAACGCTGTGTAAATATTGGCAGGTGCAATAAAGCCCAGTTGGTCAGTTACTGTATTAATAACAACAATGAGAACACAGAACGTAACATCAGACTGACAGAGAAGCAAAGAAATTAGTGAAAGCAAAAGTAGAGAAAAAAGTGTGACAGCATGGCAGGACGAAATGAAAAAGCAATTAGGAAAGGTGGGGGTGATGGTGCCCCGGTCCGAACCCAATTCACACCAGAAGCTCCCGGACAAAGACACGACAACATGTCCCAACACAGACTCATTACTCCCTCTTCCCTACAAAGACATAATCCTTTAAAGGCCATGTGGTTCAAGTGGGCTAAAAAGAAAAGGTAGATTCACAGACTCCCCAAAAAACAGGACATACTTTGCTAAGTTATCCATTAACAAGTTACAGCAAAAACCATCAGAGAGTCAGACTAAGAGAAGGAGGAGTAAATTCCAATATATTTAACAAACTGGGCCAACAACACACCAATGAACTCCCAACAGTAGAAACACTGAAGCACACAGGTGGTCAGTTGACAGGACAGTACCTCCCCATCAGAGGAGTTAGATGGTTTTGGTTTAGTTGGTTAGTTATGATACGCAGTAAGAGTTAGACTCAGTAAAATATCTGATGTATTTAAAGTTTTCCAAATGTAAATATCTGCAGAACTAGTATTAAATATCAGCTGATGATACATGTTAACTGTTCTCAAAGGGAAACTTCAGTGTTTTTCAGCCTGGACCCTATTTTCCCATGTTTTTGTGTCTAAGGGTGCTTTCACACCTGCCCTGTTTGGGTCGGTTCAATCGAATTCAAGTTCGTTTCCCCCCTAAGCGCAGTTTGTTTGGGCAGGTGTGAACACAACCATCGCACTCATTACGACTAGACCAAGACTTTCTTGAAGAGGTGGTCTTGGTCAGGTTACCAAAGAACTCTGGTGTGGTTTGTTTGTGGTAAGAACGTGTTCCAACCGCAATCTGAACCAGCTGTAGTCACATTACCCATTGTTTGGGTTAAACATGAGCATTTTACAGTCCTGGAGGATTATTAATGTGCACCTCCTCCTGTACTGCCTTAATATGCACATTCAGCACATCCAATGCATCAAAACATTGTTTTCTAGTTGGAGCCGCGCCTCGTTTTCAAACTGTATGGTTTGACTAAAATGAACAATGACAGCAATATAGTCCACAATGAGCAGCGCTTAAATCAACCTGCGTAGTTGTCCCTCCATTGTGACATTAGAAAGTGTCACTTTTATTTTGTAAGTGTATTCTTCTTCAATTTTTTGTTTACTTTCTGGATTTTCCCCGCATGGAAATTCTGACCAATCAAGAGCTGCTTTCTCGTGCAAGGCATTTAATCTGGTCCGCTTGTGAATGCTGCCGTGAGAACACATACCAACTCTAGGCAATTATGTAACTTAGGTCCCTGATTCGGACCAAAACAAGCAAACTCTAGGTCTGAAAACACCCTTGGTCTCTACTGGACCAATTTCCAAAGTTGTTGGTCCCATGAGTCACTAAGAGACCGCTGCATTTGGCAGCTGCAAAACAGGCTACAATGTAATCACTACAGGCAACTGTGCTCTGTCAGTTTACGTCTGTTAAACATGCTTTTTTTTGTCACCGACAGGCTCAGATTGTTATTCTGAGTGTCTAACAGTATTTAAATTAAATGTCAATACCCTTCACTTGTTTCTGTCTGTTTTTTGTCCAAATCTCACAAACATATTGTTCCGTTTACTGTTTACGGTTAAAAACTCCTTGTTGTTGCCTTAAATAGCAGTAAACTTTTGTGTTTGGTACAGTTTGTGTTCACACCTGACAGCTATGTGCAGAATACACGAACCACACTCGAGACCACCTATTCAAGCAGACTCGGGCATGGATCAGCATACCATGGCGGTTGCTGTACACAGTGTTCATACAAACTGTACTTTAAGGTCAAGTGTACTCAGATCCGGGCCCAGGTCCCTGACATAAAAGCCCCCTCAGGCACAAGAACATGGGAAAATAGGGTCCAGGTTGAAAAATACTGCAGTTCCCCTTTAATATTCCTGTTTTTAAGGTTAATTTAGGTAGTTTTACTGAGATGAGTCTGTATTTATACCAGTTGGATTAGAATTAGAATTTCTTCACAAGTAAGTTGAGGTAGTGATAGTCTTAATGTCAGACATATCATAAGTTTCTGTCCTGGTTAGCTGGGATATGTTTGTCTTCTGTGTCGACACTGTCCAGATTAGTCAGGAGGCATTGGTTTTCTGTACCTATATGGCTCAGTGCGAGTTTTTCTGCTTTGTTTTTCTTTGTCTCCCAGAGGAACTCTCTTCCAGAGCATGCTCCAATCCCAGGCTCCTCTAGCAAAGCCATCCTCGTCTCCTCCGCCCTGGGGCTCGATGGTGTACTTCTGGCCGTGGATAGAATCGATCAGAGGCACCGTACACACCGTTCTGACAGAGTGGAGTTGGGGCCATGCATACAAGATACATGGGGTGGGGGGGGGGGGGGGGGGGGGGGGGGGGGGGGGGGGGGTGGGGGTGGGGGTGGGGGTGCACACGAAAGGAAATAAAAACAGGCAAGTGCGGACAGCAGTGCCGGTAAAAACACGAAGACATCGGGTGGGGTGTCAAAGACCAAGACAGAGCAAGACACAGTGGAGGAGAGGACAGGTGGGGTGAAGGGATGGGAGATGGAGACACAAACAGAACAGGGATGAGTGTTAGCATGCTGGCTGCTGTGGTGTGTGTACCGGTAGGGCTGGGTGGTATGTTTTCTCTTGGCCTTCTCTCTCTGGCTAAGTGGTACTCTCTTCCAGAGCAGGCTCCAATCCCATGCTCCTCTAGCCAGGCCGTCCTCATCTCCACCCTGCTGGGGCTCCATAGTGTACTCATTACCGTCTATATAGTCTATCAGTGGTACTGTACATACTGTCCTACACGCACACACACAAAGACACACACAAACCTTTGTCTGTATTGGGCTGTGATGAATACCTTAATATTGATTTTGCGATGATATCGTAGGGTTGACTATTGGTGCTTTCACAAAATATTTACACAATTAGCTTTTGATAAATAATCATCAGTCATGTGGATATAAAGACAAATAATAGAACAGCTAGAACAATTTGGTAAGTTCAGAAAATGACATCACTTTACGGTAATGCAGCCTTTAAAACCAGGAAAAGACAACACTTAAGATATTACTGTAAACAAAATCTAAGACGATATCTAGTTTCATATCATGATTTAAATATAATATCGATATATTGCCCAGGACATAAATATTCTGTGTGTATACAGTGGTGAATAAAGTATTCAGATCCTTTATTTAGTTAAAAATACTAACACCATACTGTGAAAATACTCAAAGTAAAAGTCTTGATTAAAAACCTTAAGTATGTTAACTTCATCAGTAAAATGTACTTAAAGTCCTAAAAATAGTCACTGTGCAGTAAAATGTTCCCTGGCAGTATTTTACTATTATATCTGATGGTTTTGGATTACTATTACTGCTGCATTAATGTGTGTGTTGAGTTTTACCACTGTAGATGTTTAAAGTTGTGCTTATTTAACCCCTTCATATAATGTTGGGTAATAATTTACAGCAATGCATCATATTCTATAAGAGCAATATTTTTTGTAGGCGGCAGTCCTGTGAGAACCATGAATCTTTTCATGATGTCAGAAAAACAGCTGTTTTCAGCTTTATGATGATTCATTTCTCCACTGATTCAGGAGGGTTTTTAAAGAGTTCATTTGGCTTAAGAAGCAGGGGAATTTTCTCAACACATAAAGGAACACTTCATCCGTCAGTTTATCACAAAAACTAAAAATTGACACATTTGGAAAAGTAACTAAACCTGTCAGATAAATGTAGTGCCATAAAAGAACAATATTTCCCTCTGATAGTTACATTCAACCGCTGTATGCATGGTACAGAATCCTGCAGCAACAGTGTTTTAGTAAACTGTGGCAGGTTTGACTGCCTGAACATGAATGCCCAAAATCACCCACCCCAAATTTGTTTTCAAACATTTCGTTCTCCTGGCCTAGTGAGATGTTTTAAGAAAAAAGCAGATTTAATGTTGTGATAAGAATGGACACAACCTCAGAAACTTTCTCTGAGTAAAACATCTGGAGCAACGGATGGCGATGTAGACATCTGTAAAATACCATGAATCTATAAATCGACATCACTTGATCAGGATGGAGAAGAAATGCAGAATAGTGATAATTTTGTTTCTGAACAGGCTGATTTAGTTAAGAATAAAGGTAAGAACACAGATCTGGATATCTGAGTAATCTTGCATGTCACTGGCAAAGATCAAAAAAGCAGGAAAACATATGGAGCATCAACGTCCACCCACGCAGCGCACAAACTACCACTGCGGCCTCATTGTATTCCACCCTCACTGCTGTTTGTTTGTTTAACTGGTGAAACTTGTAAGATCAATCATTCTACCTCTCACAGCAGCACACAAAGAACTCATGTTTGGAGAGAGTAACCTTGACCCCTCAGGTGTACTCTGGAGTGAAAGTGTTCAAAGCAAATATTTAATTATTTACCCAAAAGGTTTAAAAAGGTTGAGTACAATGACCTTGCATAGAAATATTGACTGTTGCGAGTATTTTCGTTCTCGTATTGGTCACTTCCACAATGAATGGGGTTGTGTGTAACAAATAAAAACATACAATCAAAAAGGGTTTTCACCCCTTCAAGTAGTGATGACCTGATCAAGTTTTTATCCCCCGATCAGGAGTCCTCTGTATAGCTCAATATACCCAGTCCCTGATCAGTTAAAAAAACGTCTTGATTGTCCCCAATCCGATCTATGAGACAGGTTTGGGACATCCCTTCCTTCAGGCATTTAACACATTCAAGTCATTGGCCACAGATAGTGCCTGTGGGCAGATTACACACAGCCTAATAAAATGACAAATTTAACTATATGAATGAATTTACCACACCAGTTTAATTAATCATGCATCAAAACACAAAGCTTTCTTCCAGATGTCTTCACTGTCCAAAGCCTTGAATCATCTGTCACCTCCCAAGATGCTAAAACACACTGAACAGGTGTGAGTGTGTGTGTGTGTTACCTGTCTTTTGAAATCGGAGCAACCAGTGGAGCATACCAGTTGATTCCAACCTCACAATGAGCATCCAGGTAGATAAGCACCTAAAAAACAACCACACAAACACTTAGTCTCAGTCTGATCAATATTACTAACTGTTGAGTAGTGTTTTACTCCTAGTATAAAGTTGAGAGCAGTTTTATAAACTAACATATTTTTCACACAGTAGTTGTGGCAGGAGCAGCAGCAGCATCAACAGCAGCAGTAGCAGTAAGATCATATCATACCTGTCCTTTAGTGGCCTTCTTGGCTCCTATACTCCTGGCCTGGATCAGTCCTTCCCTCTTGTCATTTCTGAAGAGTTTCACAAGACCATTCCACTGCTTGATGTAGTCCTCCAAACGCTCCTTCAGATGGGCTAAACACACACACACACGGAACTGATTTTCAATATTACATTTTACACAATAACATGTCTATGTGTAAACCACTAACAGAGGTACTTGTTTGACACCTGACATTATTTGAGGATTTAATAAAGTGAGTTCAGCTTTCATCTTTGAACAGAATCAATGTATCTTTGCTCTTCCCACCATCTTGGCACTGTTGCAGTGTTACATTACATCTCATATATCCATGACAGTCCAGTCTCCATCAATTAAACAGTAGCAAGCTCTACTCTGAACTCTGATTAGATGGTGCTGGATTTTTTTTCTGTTACTGAATCTCATGCTCCATATGAGAATGACAGCGTAAATGCTTTTTTCGGTTTGCATGTCCACCGCCAATAGGAATGCTGAAGTGACGTTCTGCAAGGCGGTCAGCAGGACTTCACTGTCGTTTCGTTCTTGTTTTCTTTATTTATTTTGTTACGAGCTGTCATTTGTGTTTTGTGTTGTCAGCTGTTTACATGTCTAATGGACTTCTAAAAATGGCGGTTGCTTGCGCTACATTGGCTCAAGTGTTCGACCAATCGACATACACTTACGTTACGAAGATTCCTCTTGTGCCAGGAGAGTTCCTACTACTGAAATGCTAAAAAAGTCACTCAAAATGCCATTCAAAATGATCATTCCTTAGTTCCTGTGCTGAGGAAACAATAAAAGGAGTGTTTTTTTGTTTGTTTTTTTACATCGATGAAAATGTTCCTTAAGTCCACAAACGTTTTAAAGGCCCAGACACACCAAACCAAACAGAGAGCTATCAGTGGTGAAAGCCCCCCGCTGCATTGCCTAACTTTGCCTGTGTGTCTGCCAGAAAGTTGCACATGAAGACACAGCAAAGACTTAAACCGCTGGCAAACCTGCACGTACAGTCCACATTTGTGTGAGAGGAAATGATTATACAAATTTAGCATATTGTCATATGAGTAGGGTGCAAAGCGGCAGCGAACAGCTAGCTCGGACTCATAGGCACTAACATGTAGGCACTACTGAATTGTCTACCACAACATCAAACAGAGAAGCTCGGGTTACAACACAGTGAGAGAGAGTATGACTTTATCCTCTGCTCAGGATGCCATTACTCCACTATATCTTTACATAGCAAATAGTGGTTCACTTTTATATTAATGCTCTGGATGTACAGTTCCTTTAACAATCAAGGTGCACAGAATGAAAAATATCTTGTGTTTGCACCCTGTAACAATCACAACCTTGCTACAAAATGTGACTTCACCATGGTGACAGTCAGCTATTTATCCAGACACTGGAGCTAAGGGAGCTCTCTTTAGTCTTGTTACTTATTTTTGTGCATTGATGCTGGATTGTCCAAGAGATAATCACAGTGCAACTAAGATTACATTTTTCTCCAACCCTTATAGTTCATGTGAGGAAAATGATGAAAGCTCACCTTTGTTGCTGAAGTCATCTATCATGACTATCTCAGCCAGGTACCTCCTGGGAGTCCTCTTGATGACACTGTGGACGGTTCTCATCAGCGTGGACCAGCCTTCATTGTGGAAGACTATGATCACACTGGAGGTCATCAGTCTGTCATCATAATGCCAGTATTTACACCTGGAGGGGTGGGACAGAGTGCTAAATGCAGATCAGTTACATTCATGTCATAGGTTCCCTGCTAGGAATGTTGCTACTATCTCTCCAGTGCAGCTTCACCTCACTCAATGACATTAAGTCATTATATCCACATTACTGATTATTATTCATTAAAAATCTCATTGTGTAAACATTTTGTGAAAGTATCAATAGTCAACCCTACAATATCGTACTAATTTGTACTTAAACATGCTGTGGAACTGTTTTGCTTTGCTCCTTCATTGACTACAGCACAGCATTTGATACAGTATGGAGACATGCACGCTTGTTAAAACTGCAGAAAGCATTTATTAATGGTAGACTGTTTAATGTCATTGAGAAGCTAAACAGCCATATTAAGTCCTGTGTTTTTGCCAAATTTAATTTTTATTGTTATCTTGACTGGGGTCAGACCAGGTGAAAACCTGTCCCGGCAATTATTTGCACAATTTATCCACGATCGGGAGGAATTTCTGGTACAAAATAGATGCTAACTGGCCACATGTGGGGACATCAAGATAGGAAGTTATATTATAACTCATGGTATTAACATATACACCTGATACTATCATTATGGGTACAACAAAAGAAGGACTTCAAAAGGCAACTGATAAAATGTGTTATTTTTGTAGATAATGGACGTTCAGTGTAGATAACAGTAAAACTAAAGTTACAGTATTTGCTCACCAGATGAGGAACTAGAAATTGTACATAGTTTTAAATATATCACTATTTTATTTCAGTGTAATCGCTCATTTAAAATTGCTGTCAAGGAACTTCTTAAACATTCACTTCTCCACATTGTTTGTGATAAGATAAAACACACCAATGGCAGTGCAGCTCACACAAGTTTTTATGGTACCACACATATGGACACACCCTTCAGCAGACGTCTCCTCCTCTATGTCAAATACAATGAAGGAGTATCTGACCATTAATTTGTACTGCAGTTTCTTGTTGTGTTCACTTGTGGATTCTTCATTGTCTAAAATACAGCATGTCCACTGCTGTTGCCACTGTCTGTAGGGTGTAGAGTATGTTGATCCAAGAATCTAAAGCAACAACAATCCAATGAAAACAGTGCGTAACTGAGGAAGTGGGGTTTCTGATGTGTTATCATGTGACTGTATTTTCTCTGTTTGTTGCTGGATGTTACATTGAAGGCAACAGTAAAATATACAGCTGAGGAACGGCTTATGTTAGAGCATCTGAAACCACTGGGTGGGACTGACATAATGGCAAACATGGTGCATCCGTGATGTGGTAATGTAAAGGACTGGCTCAACACACAGTGTGTAATCTTCATCTGTCAGAATGGTTAAAGGCTGCTTGTTTAGTGGGGTGTGTATGAGTAATGCCTTACTGCCTTGTGTGTGTGTGTGTGTGCATGTGCTTGCGTGTGTGTGTGTGTGTGTGTGTGTGTGTTTACTTTAAAGGCAAGTCCATCCAGTATTTTAAAACATTTAATCCAGATCAAAACCATCCGGGTTTTGTAATCCCTGTTTTTGCTACCCCAGGCAAAATTGGAGGTTTACGTCTGTGTTAATGAATACTTTAACCAACAAATGGACGTCTACCCGAAGACTGGAACTCTAGATTCTGTAATCCAGATCTTGTGGTATCTGGATCAAAAAGATCCAATCTGAAAATTCTTTGAAAAACCAAGACAAACCTACAAGATCAATTTTATCTGAGAGAGCAAAAAAGGGATTACACAAGTCAGATAATTCTGATCTAGATTAAATGCCTTAAAATACCGGGCCCAGGTGTGTGAGCTGGTTTATTACATTAACATGTGGAAAACCATAAAGTACGTAATTCTTCTTCACTTGACAGAATCACTGTCATTTCTCAAAGACCGTATTTTACAAATCTGGGCCAGCTTGCTTTGAGGTGTTCACCTACTTCAACTAAACATGCAGACAGCCCAGAGCGACAGAAATTATCCTACCATTGTGTTTGCTTTCATTTGTTTGTAAAGACTTTGGCTTGTGGGATCTGGAAGAGAAGATTAAACTGTTCCTTCAAGACACACTGAATGCTGCCAAGTGTAGTGCTCAGTTAATACATACATTCAATATCAGGATTAGCTTGCCCTAACAGTGATATAAGGCTGATTACAGTTAAACAATACAGTGAGTAACAGAGGTGGCAGAACCTGTAGTCAGCATAAACAGCAGTACTCACTCTTCGTGGCGAAGATCACTGATGGATCTGTCCAGTGAGATCATGTCACTTGCCACCATGTTGAAGCCAAACTCCTTGATGGACGCCTGGATGGAGTCTTTGTACTCCGGACCCAGGACAAAAGGCTTGGCGACCTCCCCAGGACCGTTGGGGACCCCATGAGGCTCAGGTTCCTTGGGCTCAAAGTTACCCAGGATACCTTTCTTCAGGATGGGGCTGGTGTAGGCTTGTGTGTGGGGTTTGAATGTCACATACTGCTGCTGGATCACCTGCTTCTGGTTGGGCTGCTGGTCAGGGTTCTGGGGGTTGTTGGCCCCTCCTGGAGGTGACAACCAGAAACCAAAGATGACACAATATCAAAAACACAAATTCTAATAAAGCTGTATCCAAAAAAACTAATATATAAATATCTAAAAATGTAATATACATTACTACTACTAATCACTCTTCAATAGTAATAATATTACTTAACTTAACACTCCCTGTCAGCAGTAATTCATTACACTACTTTTTATACTACTTTTCCGTTACGGAGCAACGGAAGGAAGGATGGAGAGTCACTCGTGAAGCAACATTTCACCCACCACATATTCAGTCACAAGCTTTATCACTGTAGCCTGCAGCTGACACTGAGTAAAATCCAGTTTGAGATGTTTAGCCAGTGAAGGGCTACAGCCGACCTCTGCAGCTGAGGAGGGCTCACCTTTGGTGGGATGTATTTCCCAGAGCTTCTTGTTGCTGTGCTGTCAGTTATAGTAACTGAGGTGTTTCAGACCTCAGAGGTTTGAGGACGTGTGTTTTGTAGTGGAAAGAGTTTTAGTTCAACCACCTGCAGCAACAGTGTTCTTGTTGTCTTTCTTCCTGGCAAAATCAAAGTGATTGGAATATTTCCAGCTGCTAAGGTAAGCTTTTCCAACTAGCTTTGTGATGTGCCTGCGCAGCCCAACAATTACCAAAATGAGTTTGCTGGCATGACTGTTGCATTTCAAGTCAGTAGTAATGTGCTAACAAAAATAACGATGTAATGAATTGTTTGGTTTTGGACTAATTGTAATATTATTACTGAAATTCTATTAGTAATTAGTTACACTATTCGTTACTGGAAAAATTAATGTTAGTACTGTAATGCGCTACTGCCCAACACGCTTGATACCACCTAGAATCTATAGCTCCAGGGAAAGCAGGTCCCTTCTGCTGTTTGAGTGTCTAAGCGTACTGTTCTTCATTTTAAAATGTATTTACACAAATTTTTTGGCTTGACTACAACAGCGGGACTAGCCCTATGAACGCAAAAGTCCAAAGGTGTGTCCGTTAACATGCTAATTATTACATTAATCCCATATGTGAGATTTTTCAGTATGTTCTGAAACCTTAGTATGAAACAAACATGAATTGCATACTATTGACACCAAAATATTACAGCATGCAAACACTTGACACTACGCCTGTATAAAATCCCAAAATGCAATGCGGTAGACGACAATATTCATAACGGACAGCCACCAAGACAGCTTTCTGATGTATTAACGCTTCAATTTAAGTGTAAGTATAAGATTTTACTGTGCTCGGCATAATGAGAAGTAGTTTTGAAATCATTTTTAAATTATTGGTAGAACTGAAGGTGAAACTGGTTACCATGGTTACATGTCAGCAAGAAGACTCTGAGAATTAATTTGATCAAATGTGGTGAAATGTCCTAACTTTTGAAAATGTATTATGTAATAATCAGAGTTGTAAAGATATGCCCTCATACTAACTTCCATTATCCTAATCCTCTGTGAGACAATGCATGTATTACTGTAACAAAATATTGTAACCCCCTTTTCGTCTGTTTAGTAAATTCAACCGTTTCCAGACCTGCTCTGGGTTCTGTGTTCACTACCCTGCATTTACTCTTCGATAATCTGTTTTTGATAAAGTGTGCAGCAGCATAACTACCTTGCAAATACTTCTTGCTCGTAAAAGTCACACAAAGAAAACTTGTGTATTAGTACATGGAAAATAGCAGAGGTCACCTTTACGCCTGCACTTGCTCAGTAAAAGCCTGAGTCTTTTCAGGAGCCGGGTTTGTTTATGGGCTGTTGAAAATGGAGCTGTGACTCACCATGTTTGAGTCTAATGGAGCTGAGGTCGACCTCCACCCCTTCCACATGAGGCCAGGGCACCACAGGCTTAAACTGGTCTGCTAAGTCTCCTTTGGGCAGCACACCTTCATCCTGCATTGAGGGATATGACGGAGGGTGTTAGACATTACACAGATGCACATTAATACAGTCGTCGAGCATGCTGGGACAAACAAATGAAAAATAATAAACAAATACATGATTTAATATGGCTTTGGACTAACCTTAGGTCTAGTGACAGTGAGTAGGATACAACACAGCAGGTACATGTTTCATTTGGGAAGATTAATTGGAGTTGGTAAGAGCCTGTCAAAAGTAATCACTAACAGAGATGGGTGAATGCAAGCTATTTAATTCTCTGTGGGTTTGCCATTATGAGCTTTTAAAACTAATTTTGCCAGATTTTTTGGAATTTTCAAACCAATGCATTTACAAGTGGGGCTCCATTTTGTTTGTTTTTATGCATGCACACATGGACACATGACACGCACAAGCACATAGGTGACGTGACGCACATTTCTGCCAATGTTTTTTTCACTATTCCACTGATCTACAGTTGTGCTTTTACAGGTAGCTGAGTCATATTTGACCCCTTGATTACAATGAAACTGAAACATAGAAAAGCACCAATTGATTGAATTGAAATATACCGAAAATGTTCACCAACCATAGCTAATGTAATGAAATCTTAAATTGATTCATAAAGCAGCACTAAGAGGGACATGAGTGGACAGACAGAAGTGCTGTTGCAGATCTCGGTGAGGACAAACTTCCAAGTTTCAAAAACAGTTTACCTGTGTATTCAATACAGAGTCATGTTCAAGTCACTTTCAGAGGGATTAATATTTATCATGATGCCGTGATCAAACATTAACCAGCCACTCAACTTCACTCATCACTCTGCTGTGTTTATCCAAGGCCAATTACAGGCGGTAGCTTGTAACAGATAACAAGTTCCCTGCCCTAAAGATTCCACATCATGACATTAGAAAGAAGCAGCCTGAAAGAACTGAGTATACTATTGTACTCTCTTCATGGATTTTCTTTTATGTTCTTTGTGCTGATGTGAACATTTTCAATTACACCCACACAAATCAAACTGCCGTCGGAGCTGATGAAATTTCACAAATACCAAGAGTTCAACTTGATAATACAAGGTGTAGATCCAGAAGGCCAACAAATTATAAAGAGAACAAATGAGTTAAAATAATGCTGGGTATGAAAAAATCAGCACACATTATGCGCTTAACAAGTAATTGAAACACTTGATAAATGATATTTTCGTAAATTATGTTAATTTGAGAACATATGTAAAGAAGACAGGGGCAGCTTGTTGACACACTTTTACTCTAAATGCATCTATAACCTCTTACACTGCCTCTTCAAGGCGGGAATTTCATGTCCTTATGCCACCTCGCCGTTCTGTATAAAAGGTACAATCAGAGTTGTCTTGACTTTAAGCTGGCAAAGGAGGCAGTAACAGCACTAAATCAATGTCTGTGTAAAAGGGACAGACAGCAGTGCAGGGTTACGAATGGGACGAGTGTGACTTTTGACAGCATATTATGTAGGCAATCCATCGGCAGGAAATCAAAGAAGTATGTTAATACCACATCTCCATACCAGTTTAATAGAAATAGGAGAAAGCCTAGTGTGAGTAAAGATGAAAAAGTCTAATTAATGCAGAGGTGTACTTTAAAAGCTTGCGTCCTTCACCTCACTGGTGGCATCATACCTGCGGAAACACTGTAGTTATTTCTTCAGTATCGAACACAACCCCACTGTAAAGTATGCTTGCTAAATAAGTAGGCGGTGCTGCTCAATGTTAATATGTTGTAAGTTTTACGTTAACTTAGAGCAAGTGTGTTTTGTTTTATGATAACAGCATTTTTTGGATTGAGTTAAAGGAACAGTGTGTAAGGTACAAGGAGATTTAGTGCCATCTGGTGGTACGGATTGCGGATTGCAAGCAGCAGAAACTTCACCCAGTTAGAATTCCTTCAGTGTTCATTGTTCAGGACGTTTTTATTGGAAGCCATTTTATCTGCAGAGGTCATTTCCTCTCCAAAATAACTGGTGAAACCTGTAAAAACACTGATTAAAGCTGTTTCACAGTACAAAATCAGTGTTTTAACAATGCTGCTTGTCACAGAGGGGCTGCCAACTAGAGAAGCAGATGCAAAAATGCAAATGGCCCTATCTAGACGTTTTAATGTGAGTGGAATTATCTGCGGAGGTCTCTTTCTCTCCAAAACAAGCGGACCCAATTATTTTAACTGGTAAAAACACTGGAAAAAGCAGCTTGGTGTTACAAATGTTTTTCCAACGCTGTTTGGCTCATCTCAGATGGACTGATAGACCAGCACCTGCTTATGTATGCTCACCTTTTTTTGTCTAACAACTTAAGATCCGGCCATTCAAGGTTTTTACTGTGTGCCTAATTATCCACAGAGGTCTCTTCCTCTCCAAAACAAATGCATCCCGGTGACTTATTGCAGTAAAAACACTAAAACAACTATCTGTTCTGGGCTACTGTAGAAACATGGCGGTGCAACATGGAGATCTCTGTTGACAAGAACCTGCTCCCTGTCGATATAAACGGCTTCCTATGGTAATAAGAGCATAATAATTCCTATTTCAAGTAACACTTAAGAAAACATACTTCTTATATTCCATTTCTGCCAATATATCTACCTAAATCCTACACACTGGACCTTAAAGACTATTAAACTGTGCAACTCACTGTATGTTAGGATTATTTAACTATAATGTGATTTGAGTATCCTACCTATGCTGGTAGCACGAGATGATTTAGACATTGATATGCTATCCAAAGTACCTCAATATATACCAACTGGTTGTGTCCACGGCTGCATACCGATAATTCCTAATCCTTTTGCAATTCATGTCTTGAAGTAGATGTTATCAAGTGTGACGCATTTACTGTGCCAAAAACAAGAGCTAAAACATAATTTGATGGTCTAATTGATCTTGTAGAAAGTTATATCATGTCATATACTTGCTGTATGATAATACCAAAGTAAAACTATGTTATGGACAGTTTCTAAACTAGAAAGCAGGAATTTTGGGACAGGCATACCTGCAGTAATGTCAACTTTAAGTTCCGCCTTGGGCACACGACACCAGTATGGCGAGATATGCGGACATGTATCCTGGAATGACCGTGTTGAGATTTAGGAAGGTAGCTTAACGGTGACAGTAACGTGTGAATACAGGTGACGTTACAAGGACGTTACAAGGATGCAACTGTACATCAAAATATGTGAATTCACCACAATAAGTAAAGAGGCAGCTAGCGTTAGTAGCTAGCTAGGAACAAATCTCCATGACAACCAATGTATTAGAGCTAGCAAACACCTGAATGAAAGCGTGCTCTCGTGTCGCTATATTAAGAGTGATATTTTTAATATTAAAGACACGCAATCTGCTCCTACGACCCCGCTGCCTCCATTACTCATCACCCACACACTTGTAACTCATTTTACATAGCTACGTGTGTTACACACCTCGACGTGTTGGGTTGGAGTTATGCTAACACTGATAACTGTTAGTTCCCTCTTAGACACTTCAGGTTAACTCGACTGCTGTTGTCAACTCACCCGTTTTCCAAAGGGGTTGTCGTCGTTGGGCTTCGGTGACAGAGAAGACCAGAGCAACACCAACCCAAGAAAAGTCCCAATGACGAGCAAACTCCGTAGCAGAAACCCTACTTTCAGCCTCATCTTAGAAACTCTTCCCCGGTAGCCAGGCTGCCGACAGCTAGCTAGCTAAACTAGATTAGCTGCTACTGCTCCTAGCAAGGGGGCTAACCGGCTGGCAGGAGAGGCAGGCGGCGGCTAACAACTACTTCGCTGCTGATGTTGCAAGTTTGAACTGCAAGGCTTGTACTAACTCGACAGGCGGTGGCGCGACCGTGGCTTTCAAGCTAAAATGATATTTTGTAATCCAACAGGCTGATGGAAACGGCTCCTTATCCCTGTCTCCTTCTTGACAGTTGGTCTCTGTGACCTGCTACTGCTGACACTGCTCCAGTGTAGCAGCCCCCCGCAGTGTAGTTCTGCCCAGCTGAGAGAGGCTCACGCCTTTAGCATTAAATAGCTCACCTCACACAAGCAATAATGTTGCCTGATGTATTAATTAGTCTGTAATGTTGTCACCACATTTCTAACATCCAAATTTTAAGTACTCAAAATGTGTCTCACATAGCTCAGGCTCACTCATGGACTCATGCGTATCAAACAGGTTTAGTGGGTGTTGGGTGACAGAGACAAGAGGTCTGTCTGGTTTTTCAAACCTCATATGTTGGGTGACGCGTGGATCAATTATTTAAAGGGCTGTGGCTCCTTACTCAATGCCACGTCATATACAGATGCAGAAATAAAAACTCTAAGGTCTCATGTAGTGAGGGAGAAGCAGCAAGTGATAATTGGAATGGACACAAATTAATATATATATGGGGGAAATGATATTACAGAAATGAAATCAAAGCCGAAGAACAATAAGATTAGTGCTGATAAGTGCTGTCTCTTTGAAAATGGTTGTCAATTTAAACACATCTGAAGACTGCATGGACAGACCCAGCCAACATTTGTGTGGGTCCAATGTGGGTAGTCAGTGGGCTGAAAAATGGGCACCCACCCACCCACTGACCATATTGGCCCCATGCCAATTGCCCACATGGGTGCGTTATCCAAGTGGGCCCCAGATAAGATGCCCATTTGGACCTATACCTTCTTGGTACCCAGATACCACTAGCATAACTCATGTGGGGCCAACTTGGGTAAACACACCCATGTGGGCAACTGGCATGGGGCCAATATGAAATCCGCACAGTCCCATTGGGGACCCATTTGTCAGCCCATTTACTACCCACATGAGCCATTCAAACAAATGTTGGCTGGGGAGTTGGATCATAGGTGTGTACAGGTAATTTTAAGAACACCCTCAGACCTCACGTCACCTTTCCTTAGACAAAAGATGTCAGGAAATACACTGCCAAGCACCACAGCAGCACAAATAAGTTGTACTTCTCAGACTCTGTGACTTGGACTGAGAATCTTCCTAGACTGGTTTCTAAATGTGTTGAAGTCTGCAGCCAACCACAAGTGATTACTCACATAATGAAACCCTTGAGAAATGACCTTTTGATAATGTTGACTCAATATGCAAACAGTGTAATGACAGAGATGGAGATGCATTCAGCTCAACAGTCTCCTGGCCCCTTATACTGTTTTGACAAACTGATACTGTAACCCTTGTGTGTGCTCACTGCAGTGATGGGTGAGACTAATACACAGCTCAGTGAGGTCACATCATGGATCATTTATTGGTATTTACATATACATAGACACGTGAAGTCCAGCACTTGCCGAAGGAAAATAAATTCCAATATGTACAAAATGATGTATTGTGCGTTACCAACATAAAGAGCTAAAATTAATTCACAGTTGATCAGCTGTCATTATCAGTCAGACAATAATCTGTCAGGGAAAATTTAAAGGTCCAGTGTGTAGGATTAAGGGGGATATATTGGCAAAAATAAAATACAATATGTATGTTTTTTTAAGCATATAATCCCCTGACAATAAGAATTGATGTGTTTTCGTTACCTTAAAATGAGCCTCATCCATGGAGTCCAACATGTTGCACCGCCATGTTTCTACAGTATCCCAGCTTTAGATAGGGCCATTTGCATTTTTGCATTGGCTACTGTAGTTAACAGCCCCTCCATGACAAGCAGCATCAGGAATTTTTCAATGTTAAACTGCCCTTTTTTTTGGTGTGTTTTTACTATGATAAATCACCGGGTGCATTTGTTTTGGAGAGGAAGAGACCTCTACAGATAATTCAGTTCCCAGTAAACCCCTCCTCAACATCTGGATCTTAAGTTAGACAAAAAAGGTTTAAATCATCTGTTCTGCTTGTTTTGGAGAGAAAGAGACCTCCACAGATAATTCAGCCCACAATAAAAACCTCCTGAATGTCTGGATCAGATAAAAGGTTAGCATACATTAAGTTATCAGAGAAAAAAGGTGAGCACACATTAGGAGGGGCTGGGCTAGAGGCTGGTCTCCGACGTGCCAAACATCATGGGAGAAACACACGAAACAGCTCTATTGAGTGTTCTTAGTGGTTTAAATCTCCGTGTCCATTTGTTTTGGAGAGGAGGAGACCTATGCGGATAATTTGGGTCCCACTAAAAACCTCCTGAACAATGAACACTGAAGGAATTCTAACCGGGAGAAGTTTCAGCAGCTTGCAATCTGCAATCCACACCACCAGGTGGCACTAAATCCCCCTAAATCTTTCACTCTGTTCCTTTAAGTCCTAGTAAGTAGACATTTGAAATGAACAGAGATTGTCTCAATTACGGCAACACAAAGGCAACACTATGTAGCAGAGCACAGTGTGCAGCAGAGTAAATCTTAAGTGTTTTTTGATGTGATGACACTGTAGAAGCCAAACTCAACCATACAGTTTAAAACATTGTGATATGTTATTTTAAAATGTGGTTAACAAGGGACTTGGCACATCCAAATTTAAAATGTCAAAGAAATGGCATCTGAATTGTAGCTGCTTTTCCCTGTCATTCTGCGTGTGTGCATCATCATCCTATGTGTACTCCAGATACTGAGTGAGCAGCGAGGGAAGAGGAAGGAGAGGCAGCAGCGTCAGTCTGGATCGACCAATCAGATTCCTGATCTGGAGACGACACAGCTGGCGGAGACTCCTAGGAGAAACTAGAGAGAGATAGAGACAGAGTGATTTCCTGTAACTGTTGTGATACAGCTCAGCTTGAATTTCAAGTGGGTCCACGCATCAGTGCTGAGAGTCACTGCAGTACCTTCAAATGTCAGCAGCAGCTGTTGTGTTTTTCCACCAGCAGGCGCTACCTCCACAGGCCGCTGATTGTTACTGTCTCTGACGTTGACATCCGCTCCATAGTCCAGTAACACTGACACCTGATCAGCATTGTCCTGTCTGACAGCGGCATGCAGAGGGCTGTCACCTCCTCTGCCTACATTAACATTCGCTCCTGGAGGAGACAAGGACAAAGGAGAGGAGAGAAGGTGTTACATGTTAAATTTTGTCATAGTGCAGGTAGAATAGAGGTGAACAAGGATTTGAAGTAGAATTTGACCCTTTATTAGAGTTCAGATAATTTCTCAAGACAGATTCTGCAATCTACATTGTAGAAAGAATTTTTTTTTTTTTTTTTTTTTAACCAATGGATTTCCAGATTGGAGTTTAGATGAATATAAGCAAACATAACGTCTTCACATAGGAACAGCCTACAGTGGTGGATCACAACCTGAGGGTCCCAAAACATCCTGAGGGCTCACAGGTTGATTAAGAAATGTTTTTGTCATCTAACTTTTTAGCATTTTTCTTGTTTAACATTTCATAACATTCACTCCTTCAAACCTCTATTAATCCTTCAACAGACAACCTCAGAAGGGAATAATGGCCACAGTAAGGTGATGAAGAGAGATAAATAAACAACAGTTGCATTAGGCAATACTTGCACCAAAACATTCCCTTTAAAGTGAACGGGTTTCTAGCACTGCAGACTGAAGATCACTGCTCACTCTGCAGGATTAATTTCGCAAAGCTTTGAGCACACTGGCTAAAGCTGCTCATTTTCTGGACCAGAAATACCCCCACACACAAAACAATCATAGAAAACTGTGGTACGCCTGCTCCAATACAAGAGGTAACACAGATACAGGTGTGCTACAAGTTTAAATAAAAGGAAATTGTAGTAAATAAGACTCACCTCTGTGTAGCAGAATCTTGGAGCAGGCTGTGTGCTGGTTTAAACAGCTCATGTAGAGAGGAGAGCCCAAGTGGGACACCTCATAGTCTGGATCTGCTCCATGAGACAGCAGGGACTCGACACACTGACTATTACCTGCACACACACACAATGATGAAACATTCACAAACGTTGTGCTGAAGTAAAATGTTTGAATTGAGTTACTGAGTTAAAGTTATTGAGTTAAGTTCTAAAGTAGTGCCACTGTGCTCTCTGTTATGAAGCACTAACCAGGACGTGGCCCTACTACTGTAGTTAAACATTACAACTTCATCAAGTGGCAACCTCTGGGGCTGAAAAATGAAGCCATCACAAAAGTGATGAAAACTGCAGCTCCTCTAATGGCCACTTGAGGCTGGCTCCAATAGTGAGTCAATCCCCATAGTTAAAATGTTCAACTTTACAGCAGAAATAAACATGTTAACAGCCTGGTACAAAAACAGTTTTAGTCTCTGTAGCTAAATTCCACATTCATAGCAACTGTAGGGGAGTGATTTTTTATGAAACTCACCAGTTTAAATGTTATTAAGACTTAAAGGGCCAGTGTGTAAAATGGGTTGAAAACCGTTGGAAACAGTGACATCAGTGGTCAAATTCTAGATTGCAGGGCTCACTCGCTCACCCCTCCCGTCGGGTAAATGACGGTGGCCTCGTAGGGACAAAAAGCCTTGCTCACGAGTTTTTCAGGAGTAGGTCTATCTAGCGACGAGGTGAATGTTTATTTAGAAATCTAAGCCATGTTACGATATTGTAATGAATCCCTCACAAGCAGGAGACCAGAGGAGCATTCGGGAAAAAGGCCCGTTTATTTGAGCTCTCCAGAAACTCCGGTAACACACCACTCCATCTCAAACTCTGACTCCTCTGGCGTAACAGACACACTTCTAACTTTACACACATACTCGTTTACAATACTAAGTGGGGACCCCCCTCCCCTCTCTGCTCCACCAATCTCCAGCCCACACACTGACTGACAGCGTAGCTGGTAAACGGTGCTCAGCTGTTTATTTAGCCTAGCAATATCTCCGGACTATAGTAGCTGCAATGGACGACTTTGAACACGATTTTGAAGAGTTTCTTGTAGCGGACACAGACCCAGAGCCATACCTGTTTGAGCCGGAGCATACAGATGAGGAACTCCATGTGTTTGATGCTGAGCGGGTGAGAAGAGAGGCTGAATGCACAGAATGGGATTCGGTGCTACTGCTACCATCGCTGGGGAGATATATCATCAGGAGGAAAAGCGCTGCAGAGAGTGCATCACAAGGAGTGAAGTTGCGTCTTCTTTTCCTCGCAGATGACGGTTCGGGTTCATTCTCTCCTGTTGCGTGGTAAGTGTGGTCCATTCACAAACTTTATAACTAAAAAAACTTTTCACTACTCTCTATCGACGAACTACTAACACTCTGCTGTTTCCTCCTCCTTTTTCCTTTCTTCCGCTGTCTTCGTTGGTTTATTTATACACGCGAAACGCGTTCTCTGGCTGGCTGGATTGTCCACTCGGTCTGCCGTACATACATGGCGGCGCAAGATGGCGATCTCTCTAAAGCAAGGCCCTTGCTATATATATATATAAAAGCATAATTATAAGGCTACGAAAACCAAACAAATTTTATTTTATAGCGATCATACACTTGTATAAACATATTAATGGGTAGAATATTCAGATTCAGATTCAGATTGACAATAAACCATGCCAAATATTACACACTGGCCCTTTAAAGTTATGCATAATTAAGGCAGTGGCTGCTTTGAGTCACAGTTGGATGCCGTCCTTACCACAGTGACAAAGCTGGCTATGTCACCTTGGTGTAACCCCAGATTCACAGAGTATAGGCGTAGCTAGCTGTTGCTATTTCAGTATGTTTTCAGTTCCTTAAAGTTAATCATAAAGTTTTGGTCGCCTAAAAAAGTCTTGTTAAGGGTTTGGTTGTACTAAAAGACCCTATACAGGAGTCAGACATTCAGTTTTACCGTTAAATACATTTTCTTTACTGTTTTTGAGCCTTTCACTAATAAAAATCAGTATTAGCATTAACATTATTAAAATTAACCATAGCTGTAAATGCACAGTGCTAACTGAGCTAGGGTTAGGGTTAGGGCCGCCCTCTCGTCCAAATGTGGTAACTTCTAGCTCCAAAAATCCAAGATGGCGACGGTCAAAATGCCAAACTCAAGGGATAATAACATGGATGTTTAAAGAGAGCTGGATACAGTGTCAGAGGCAGAGCCGTGTTTATTCCTATGACAGCTGCTCATGCACATGAAGCCAACAGCTGTTACTGTCAATAATACACTGCATACAAGGTTCCTGTTTTGTTACCTCTCTTGCAGGCTTCGTGAAGGGCCGAGGGGAAGTGTGTGGGTGTGGTGTGTGTGTGCGCTCCATTCTGCAGCAGCAGCTCCAGACAGCCGACACTCCCAGAGGTGCAACAGTTGTACAGAGGAGTGACACCATCGATGGTCGTGGCATTCACCTGGACACACACAATACAGAACAGTCACTATATCTGCAAACACACATGCGAACACACACTGGTGTATAAATGAAGGTCAGCAGCTGTTGGATGACAGTTATACTGTGTTTTAGGGCGGACACATTGTGAACATATACGTAATAATGGTGGTGATAAGAGGAAGAATACTCACATTAGCTCTGGCGTTTATTAATGCTCTGACACAGGCTACGTGTCCTGACAGGCAGGCTTCATGGAGAGGGGTCACATGATCGATGGTGACAATGTTGGCGTGATATCCCTAAAAAAAAATCAAAGTACACAGCATTATGACTGGAGGTGTTTAGGAAGCACACTGCCTTGTTTCAATCAGTCCGTCTGTTTGACTTGTGTCTGATTTGCACGAATTCGGAGTAAATTATAGTGACTGGAGTGTTGGCTCATTTCCCAGAATCCCAGACTTCTGTCTTCAGGGCATGATTCTCTCTGTCAAACTCTGTGTAATACTGGTTCTTTATGTACACCATTAGCAGTGAGCAAACATAATCTTTGCACAACTTTTCTTCATAGATTATTTTACTAAAACACATTTTTTTGGATCATAATAATACATTTTCCCGAGCAGTAGAAACTGGTGGCTCCTCGCTTGCAGTTTATTGCACACACCAGCTGTACTTTTTATCATTGCTGCATCAGCTGTTGCATTAAAACTCATTTAAAACAGGCTTGTCTTTCTTCACAACCGAGAAAAGCATCTTAGATATAGTTTTCTACAATGTACTCAACACCTTTGGAGAAAAATAACTCGCAGAACTGTGGATCGATTACAGAAAACTTGGGACAAAGCTGAAGACAAGCTGAAATCTACAAAGGGAAAACCCAACATAAAGAGAATTTCCACCAACTTAGTCACATTATTTAGTCTTTGACAGTCAGGAAGGAGTTGGGACATTACAACTGAGTAAATACACCAGAAGACACACTGAAGCAGTGGTCAGTAATTGCTGGAGCTCTGGAGGTAGGCAACCATGCAAATCCCACAAGAATACCAACTGTGTTCTTCTATCAAAACAAATTTGGTTGCCAATTTGCATTGAACAGGCCAAAAAAGGAGTTAGGTGAGATCCTGGATGAAGACGCTTAAAGGACTGTATAGCCTACAGAGGGAAATGGAGCTGAGTGAATTTTGTAAAACAAAGCTAACTTAAGGGGAAAAGTTTTATTTACTGCTGTGTCTCCCTGGGGTGAAATGAATGACATCATTGGATGCCGATGTCAATTATAAATAGTGAACATCTTTAAAAACATCTAAGAACAACTAGCAGCAACTGGATCTTAAGATTTCACATTAGACTCTTAACATAACACACACTATACCATTTTATCTGCAGACTATGACCACCTGACTATGACAACTGACACTGCTTCAGACTGGAACAGACTGGTCCAACTTGGTCCCATCAGTTGTCATATCCAAATTGTATTCATCATCGAGGATGCAGCCCAAATGTGTGTCCCTGAATTGTCTCTATGCACTATGTCATTAACATCACTTGTGCTGTTTTTGTCAACATGGAGAATATTCAACACTTGTGTCTTATTGTTTTGATTTATCGATGTGGAGTTTGCATGATTTAAATTGAGATGACAGAAGTCAGCAACAGTTTCTTTACTACAACTGAATAAACCAGGCGCTAAGTGTGTGTGTATGTAAGGATGTTACCTGGGCCAGCAGAGTGCGCAGGGCGAGCAGTCGACCCTGAGAAGCTGCTTCATGGAGAGGGGAGCGATCTGCCCACGACCCTGGACACACATACACGCAGATAAGGAAACAGAATAAACAATTTTGTTACAAGTGTAGCAAAATCTATCTCTTAACAGACACACTATATTTATCATGCTTAATCTCCACTGCCCCAGACAGTACTCTGGTACAAATATCTGACTTTGGTGTCTCCCAGTGGTTGTATGTAGCGTATCTGCATCTTGCCGTCTTCACCTGGGCTGTGGTACAATTAAATAGTGCTAATAATATTTATCTGCCCTTTTTAATTGTTTAATTGCACCATGCACTAGGAGGGCTCTATAATTTTGTTGTCTTGCACAATGATAATGAAGCTCTATCTATCTATCTATCTATCTATCTATCTATCTATCTATCTAAACACTGTGATAGACAGCAAAATATGGTGGGGATCTTCCACTGATTTTTTTTATAGGAACTAGGCGCAGGGAAAAAAATTGATACAGCTCAATACCAGGATATTGTATATTACCAAAAAAATAAACTGCTACAGAGCAAGCATCAAATTAAATATATATCCAACTTCTCCTGTCTCATTTAGCAAATATATTTCTCACTCCACCTTTTTGTTGCATAAAATATTGTGATGGGTGAGTGATTTTCATTCACATTAGAGGTGGACTGCAGAGGGCGCCCCAGACGTCATCGGCGTCTGTGTAAGAGACTACCAACCATGGACGACACAGTCCCTGGCTGTTGCTTGATAGCCATCTAAATTACATAAAGATTAATAAATAGGATATGCTAACATTACACAAAATTCTACATGTAGTTTGAATTATTTCTTTCAATCAAATAATCAGGGCTTCAGTGTTGCTCCTTGTGGTTACATTTAGTGCTAGTGAGCTTTATTTAAACTGCTGTGGCATCAGTAAAGTATACACCACATTAACACAGACTGTCTTAGCTACAACATACCCATATCTCCGTCTCCCCACGGCGCAGCCTGCCACCAGTCGATATCAGTCATTTTGAATGAAGTGGAAGTGAATGGACCTCCACACTTCTGCTTGTCCTTATGTAGAGTCTTTCACACTGACAGATCACCTTACTGGCTGCACTGAACACTGACAGCACACTGCAAATACTAATAATAACCTAGCTTACAAGCTAACTGAATGAGCAGCTGTGTAACTGACTGTCTGCTTCAGTCAGAGGCAGAACTAACCTGTATCTGTTTAAACCAGCTAACCCGCAACTCAATCTGCTGTAAACTGCCATGAAAAACATGTTTGAAAGGCTTCTTATTCTCATCTAATCTGCTGAGGCTGTCACAGAGGCAGCAGCCATATTTAGATGGTCTCTGACCTCCTCCTGGTGGTGCACAACAGCAGCCATTTTGGAAAGGTCATAAGCAGCAACAACACAGATGACCTCCCTCTTTGCCTCACATAGTAACTACCTGTCCAAATGTCATCTTCATTTATTCCTCATTTATATATATTCAAAAACAGACATTTCATTAGCTCAGATCCAGTTCAGTCTGGAATAGATGAATTTGCAGGGGGTATATAACAGGAATATTCGCTCCCTGCAGATACTGAATGTGCATCAGAACAAATGGGCAGCACTGCAGCATGCAACTGAATAACAAACACAGCCAGGCTCTGTGCCGTACCCACCCTGCACCTTGTCTCTCACTTCTTATAAATGATTTCAGCATGGCCAGGACATGCAGCTGTAACAGGGTGTCTATGAGCATCAGACACTTAAATGTAATGTAAAGACTTTTTTAGATATTTTAAACCAAATTTAAGAGTAATTTTTTGGACAAATTATATTTTTCTTGCAGATAAAAGTAAGTAGTATATGTGTGGTCCTGTGCAGAGGTAGGTTCTATGTAGGAATATGGTTATTAGAATGAGTTATGTTAATCTACATTTTACAGGCAGGTAAGTATAAGTTAAAAAAAGACACAGTTTGGTTCAGTAGTAGGTTTGAATATTTGTAACATCAGAAATATGGATTTTCATGAAGGACAGCTTTAATTATTTTGGCTAGAAAAAAAGAAAGATAGCTAAATGAAATTGGATTACATTTTGTGGCAATGAAGCCCTCACAAATTCAAGACTATTTAATTACTTTTAAGGCCTAATATTTATAAACTGAATTTAAGATATTTTAGGACTCTTTAAAGACCTGCAGACACCCTGTGTACGTCTTCACAGCAGTGATGGAGGAGAAGTCATGAGCTGTTTAGTACAGCAGAGTGATGGATTGGCTTGATATTGCCCAAAAGTCACATGTAATTCTGTCACTGTTTATTTATTTATTTATTTTTTATTTACTTTATTAATCCCTGAGGGGAAATTCAATTTTTCACTCTGTTGTCAATTACACACAGGTCCAAAAACACACATGCACAAACTGGACCTATACATGCACTAAGTGGAGAGATGTCAGAGTGGGCTGCCCATGACAGGCGCTCCGAGCGGTTGGGGGGTTCGGTGCCTTGCTCAGGGGCACCTCAGCAGTGCCCAGGAGGTGAACTGGCACCTCTCCAGCTACCAGTCCACGTTCCATATTTTGGTCCGGATGGGGACTTGAACAGGCGACCCTCTGGTTCCCAACCCATATTGACTGAGCTACTGCCGCAGCCATCTCTACGACATCAGCTACTACCTTATTGAAGAACTGAACCATCCTGAATCATACTGAAAATGCCTGCATGTTGTTATAATAATATATCATGACTTTATTATTACGTTTTAAGGCAAAACAGACTTTTGTTTTAAATGGCTAAAACATTGTTGTGTCAGGAAGCATTCAATCATAACAGGCAGTAATGTCATTTTGCTCACTCTGTTAATAGCTTGCACACAAATCTCAGGATGTCAAGAAAAGTAGCTTTAAATCTAGATTAACATTGTCTGGTGCTGTTCCGTATATCAAATTTCATTAAACATTAAACTGCAGGAAACTTTGACAGTAATGATAGTGCAGGCAGTTCAGAGCCCCTCTAGCACTCCTGAACACTGGCTGCAGAGAGTGGCTGGACACCAGGGGCGTAAATATAGTCAGTGCAGGCAGTGCGGTTGCACTGGGGCCCATGAAATAGGGGGGCCCATAGAGAGAGAGAGTGGGTCCTCCACCAATGTGTTCAGTGGAGAATGGGTGATTATGAGTGACTGCCAACTTGGACATATGCCTGTGTTCAAAGAATAACTCTCATTAATTTAAAACAGAGCCATTTGCTATATATGCTGTTGTAAAAGACAAAACCATCTTTGTCATGTGGGGTTTTTTTTTTTTTTTTTTTTTTTTGTAAAATAGTCAGCAGCATCTCTGACAAAATGATATGCTTATCATTAAATTAAATTAATGATTTCTTATTTTCTTCAGTATTCTTGGTCATACAGATATGTGCTAATGACTGTTGGATAAGACGTATGTTAATATTATCTTATGTCATGTGAGGAGATGATGCGTGCACTATAATCTGACGTTCCAGGAGGCTTTCCAACTCTGTCATATAATCTGAACAACACTAAGTACAGTCTCAATCAAACATGATACTCTCCTATGTCAACTGATAGTGCTGCAGATATAGTGCAGAATTTATTTTACTTTTTTTCTAATTCAAGCTCATGTAGATACAAAAAGACAGTGATAATTCAAGGGTAGGACACAGGTTATAGTAGTGATTCCATTTCGCTGCCTCGGTAGTGACCATCCTGAATAGTTAATGAAGGAGTTTAACTACTTTTTATTGTAGCTCAGTTTTTGGTGTATCTTTAACTCAGTCCCAATCTTTAACTTTAACTTTCATCTCTATCTTTGCATCTGCTAACATTTGCTTAACGCTGCTAGATGTTTTCCTGTTGCTTGCTTCGTGTTGGCTAGCCTACTGCCCGCATGCTTCTAATAATATTGTTTAATGCTACTTAATACTGTCCAGTTGCTTCATGTATTTTAAGCTTTTTGCCAGCTGCCAGCCTGCTTTAATGTTGTCATCTGTTGTAGCTGTTTTACCATTAACCTCAATATTTTCTGATGCAACAGGTCAATTTTATTTTAGTTTAACCACAAATTTCCACTTGTCCACTTGTGCAATAATTTTTGATTTTTGTGTTATGATGTTGTCAAAATATTGTATGCTCTCATTAATTTAGCTTAATTATTACTTAATTATCCTATTTATGATTGTTTGTATTTGATCCTTCTTAGTTTTTTTTCTTTGTGAAGCACTTTGGTCAACATTTATTGTTTTTAAATGTGCCCTATTAATAAATCTGACTTGACTTAATTGTATTGTATCTTTCCCTTTTCTTGTTTTTTGTTTAGTATCTTGTCAGGGACTACAGATGAAAACTAGCCTTTTGGTTAATTCTGGCATGTTTATAGCAATTTTCTTTAATATGCATTGTCCCCAGAAGAGCACACTTTTTTTTTATTTCCAGACTCTTCTTTGTTCCCATTTCTATTTTTTTCTGTCTTCCACCTGTCGTTACTCCACAAATGGAGTCAGGCTGTCAGGAGGTGTAAATAATGGGGACATTAGTGTCAGGCCCCAGCATCAAATGTCCAACATGACCCACAAACCTTCAATGTTAAAACATTATTTATGTTTTTAATTCTTTACCAGCCTGTATTTTCTGGGTCTGACCACCGTCTGGATAAACCCTCCACCTCCACCCAGCAGCGTAAACAACCTGCGCCTTGAACCAAAGAGCAGAAGAGTACCGACCTTGGCTGGTCAAGATGCCCCAGCAAGCCTTCTTCCTCTCCGGGACGTGCTCAGGCAGCGGTCCGGGCTCGGCGCCTCTTTTCCGGGACATCTCCGGAGCTCTGGTCGGTACCTCTGGCATGCTGCCACGGCCGGACCTCACACGCTCACAGCTCAAATAACACTGACTGCAGCAGAGGAGCGCGAGCCACAGAGGAGCGGGGTGAGGCAGGGCTGGGAGCGGGTGGAGGGATGGGATTGGCTGGACGGCTTTGTTTTTGTTGTGCTCGGCGCACATGACCATCTCACATGCGCGCCCACGTGTGGACGAGGGAAACTATTTTTAACCTTGAAGTGGACGACTTGCACACACACACACACACACACACACACACACACACACACACACACACACACTATTAAGCCATGTGTGTGCGCGTGCATGCTCTGGCGTAGTGAATGCTAAGCTGTATCTGACAGCCTGGCAGATAAAACCGCACATGGACTCTGATCCTTAGCTCTACATGTCCTTCCATAGGATCATCTCAGTGAATCACATCAAATCTGGCTTCTGATCAGATTACAGTTTATATATGTACCTACATATTCCATGTATACACGCAGTTGCTGCAGATTTGTCGGCTGATGAGAATCTCCCGTTCCACCACATCCCAAAGGTGCTCTATTGGATTGAGATCTGGTGACTGTGGAGGCCATTGGAGTACAGGGAACTCATTGTCATGTTCAAGACACCAGTTTGAGATGAGTTGAGCTTTGTGACATGGTGTGTTATCCTGCTGGAAGTAGCCATCAGACGATGGGTACACTGTGGTCATAAAGGGATGGACACGGTCAGCAACAATACTCAGGTAGGCTGTGGTGTTTAAACCATGCTCAGTTGGTACTAAGGGGCCCAAAGTGTGCCAAGAAAATATCCCCCACACCATTACACCACCACCACCAGCCTGAACCTTTGATACAAGGCAGGATGGATCCATGCTTTCATGTTGTTTACACCAAATTCTGACCCTACCATCTGAATGTGGCAGCAGAAATCCAGACTCATCAGACCAGGCAACGTTTTTCCAGTCTTCTATTGTCCAGTTTTGGTGAGCCCGTGTGAACTGTAGCCTTATTTTCCTGTTGTTAGCTGACAGGAGTGGCACCTGGTGTGGTCTTCTGCTGCTGTAGCCCATCTAAACTCACCCTCTTTGTCTAAAAAAACACCTTGCCAGTGAATGAACAGGTAAAATAATGTGAAACCACACCCACACCTTAGCCAATTACTACTGGAAATGAAAGTGACCGAAAAATGTGTGCAGCCTAAACAAATAATACTGTAAACAATGAGGGTTAAATACACATTCTGGGTCCTACACACTGCTCTTGATGTTCGGCAAAATTTATAGTAAAGGCACCAGGCCATAGACATCACTATGACTCACATTTTAGGTGACGAAATGTTAAAAAAATTTTTAAATTTCTTGTAGGCCTACAGTAGTGTAGGAATCACCTTAGGCCTGACAACAATGATAAAGTTAAAATGTTAAAAAAATAATTGTGATTCAGTTCCATGTAGCTGAATTTTTGGTCAAAGTCACAGGGAGCCATTGAAAAGGGGCGAAAGAGACACGTGTGGCTCAGGAGCCACAGGTTGCCTACCCCTGCTTTAGATAGATAGATGGTAAATGATAATTTTTTTGTCCTGTATTGTTTTTTATTGTCCCTCTCCTAATAATAACACGACAGTAGCAGAGGATTTTTATGTTGACAAAATAAAACACATTTACACCATAAACTGATGCAGAAAAGGAACAAAATGGTGCATTCATCGAATGCAGGAAATTAAGTGGTTTATTGTTAAAAGATTTCTGGTGGAGGACCCCCAAACCTCCATTTCATGTGTGTCCCCTCCAATGTTGAAACGATAACTACACTCTTGGAGAGACACACTCCGCACTTTATTGCAAATTAAATAATGTTACATGCTTTATGGTAGAGGATTGTGTCTGTGTATTTAAACAGTACACTGGATATATTTTCACCCAAAGGAGGAGGCAGATGTCAGTTACAGTATGTAATGATGTAGAGTTAATATAGCATAACAGATGCATGGCCACAGGGGTCTGTGATAAAGGAATAGAATAAACAGATGTTTTCACCCAGATGAGCTGCCAATAGTTATATGAAGAACCTGAGGCTTCAGTGCAGGAGGAGTCTCGTCTTGTATGATATGTTGGCCTACATGAAAGTGCACTGTTGTGGGCAGGAGGGAAGAGACTACATCCTCCCTTACAAAGATACAGTAAAACATAAATATTGGATGTGAACTGGAGCAGTGTGTGACCAGTGAATCTATGCCCCCTTCTGTTATCGGGAGGCCCATTCAAAGACAAAGTAT